CCTGAGAAGCTTTGACCATTCTGTTCTTTACCAGATCTCCCCCTTGTTATACATAATGCATCCCCACCCTACCCCACTGATCAAAATTTAGACATTTTGAAATCTACACTACCCCATGATCCTTCCATGGGCACATATGTTTCAGCTTTTTTGGCCCAGTGGTTCCTGAGAAGAAGATTTTCAAAGATTTTCCTATATATTTCTATGTAAAACTTTGATTCCCCTATAATGGCCCCATCCTTCCCCCGGGGGTCATGATTCCTACAATTTAGAATTTACACTACCCAGAATGCTTCCACATAAGCTTCACTTTTTCTGGCCCAGTGGTTCTTGAGAAGAAGATTTTCAAAGATTTTTCCTATATATTTCTATATAGAACTTTGATTTCCCATTGTGGCCCCGCCCTTCCCGTGGGGGTAATTATTTGAACAATTGAGAATCTACATTATACCAGTATGCTTCCATATAAGTTTCAGCTTTTCTGGCCCAGTGGTTCTTGAGAAGAAGATTTTCAAAGATTTTTCCTAAATATTTCTATGTAAAACTTTGATACCCCATTGTGGCCCCGCCCTTCCCCCGGGGGTCATGATTCCTAAAATTTAGAATCTACACTACCCCAGAATGCTTCCACATAAGTTTCAGATTTTCTGGCCCAGTGGTTCTTGAGAAGAAGATTTTCAAAGATTTTTCCTATATATTTCTATATAAAACTTTGATTCCCCATTGTGGCCGCGCCCTTCCCCCGGGGGTCATTATTTGAACAATTTAGAATCTACATTATATCAGGATGCTTCCACATAAGTTTCAGCTTTTTTGGCCCAGTGGTTCTTGAGAAGAAGATTTTCAAAGATTTTTCCTATATATTTCTATATAAAACTTTGATTCCCCATTGTGGCCCCACCCTTCCCCCAAAAGTTGGGGGTCATGATTCCTAAAATTTAGAATCTACACTACCCCAGAATGCTTCCACATAAGTTTCAGATTTTCTGGCCCAGTGGTTCTTGAGAAGAAAATTTTCAAAGATTTTTCCTATATATTTCTATATAAAACTTTGATTCCTGAATGTGGCCCTGCCCAACCCCCGGGGGTCATGATTTGCACAATTTAGAATCTACACTATCCTAGGATGCTTCCACATAAGTTTCAGCTTTTTTGGCCCAGTGGTTTTTGAGAAGAAGATTTTCAAAGATTTTTCCTATATATTTCTATGTAAAACTTTGATACCCCATTGTGGCCCCAACCTTCCCCTGGGGGTCATGATTCCTAAAATTTAGAATCTACACTACCCCAGAATGCTTCCACATAAGTTTCAGCTTTACTGGCCCAGTGGTTCTTGAGAAGAAGATTTTCAAAGATTTTTCCTATATATTTCTATGTAAAACTTTGATACCCCATTGTGGCCCCGCCCTTCCCCCGGGGGTCATGATTCCTACAATTTAGAATTTAAACTACCCTAGAATGCTTCCACATAAGTTTCAGCTTTTCTGGCCCAGTGGTTCTTGAGAAGAAGATTTTCAAAGATTTTTCCTATATATTTCTATGTAAAACTTGGATTCCCCATTGTGGCCCCGCCCTTCTCCCAGGGGTCATGATTTGAACAATTTAGAATCTACACTACCCCAGGATGCTTCCACATAAGTTTCAGCTTTACTGGCCCAGTGGTTCTTGAGAAGAAGATTTTTTAATGACTCAACCCTATTTTTCTCTTTTCTTGATTATCTCCCCTTGCGAGGGAATATGTCCCTTCATTTTAACAATTTAAATTCCCCTTTACCCAAGGATGCTTTGTACCAAGTTTGGTCAAAATTGGCCCAGTGGTTCTTGAGAAGAAGTCGAAAATGTGAAAAGTTTACAGACGGACGGACAGACAGACGGACAGACAGACAGACGGACAGACGGACGGACGGACGACGGACAAAATGTGATCAGAAAAGCTCACTTGAGCCTTCGGCTCAGGTGAGCTAAAAATGCTTCTTAACAGACGTACCCTTCATACATGATAAAAATACATTTTGCAACTGTATTTTGTTTTAAGTTAGGTTTATTTACAATAATAAAAATCCCCTAAGTTTTCACCAAACCGCTTGACGCCATATTAGAATGCTATCCTTCAGCTATCCTTCCATCTCTGACGTGGAAGGCTGAGAAGGCCTTCTAAGTCTACCCTACCAAACCAATCGAGCAGACAGAATGGTTATTCTGGAATAAGAAGGGTCCCAATCGAGTGGGCCCCAGGACTCCAAAAACCACATAGACATTGTCAATAAGAAACTCAACCATCCTTTTGATGTCAACTTCAGAGTACTTGTATGTACAATCAGAATGTTTTTTGACAAAATAATTTTGCAAATGATCGATGACACGATATAAGTAAATTTACGAGTTCCATTTTATTGAAAAAAGCAGCTGTGAAATACATCTTGTTCTTAAATGTTATTTTATAAAAAGAAAGCAAGTTCAAAACGACATTGACCCATGAAACATAACTTTCCTGCACTTTGTTAGGCTAACGTATCAAAATTTAGTGATACGTATGCTTCATGGGTCAATCAATTTGACTGTTTAGATTTTAATGTACTGCCAAGAGGCAATAGCGGAAAAATAAACATGTTCATGACATACATTACCATAATTTTCTTCTTTGGTCTATTGATTGCTTGGATGTCTGTCTAATAACATCTCAATTTTTCAAGATTGAGCCCATTTAGTGCAGATTATAAAACTTTTACTTTTGTCATAACTTGAGTAATGGACTTTTGCGGGGAGCGCCGATGTTTACAGTTACACTAGGAAAATGTACGGAAGCCATTTTACAATATATATTTAGCTCAACAATTTTTAATAACTAACAAAGCACAAATAAATTGTCCTTGAAGAAAACGACAATCACTCTACCCTTAACTCCCGGACATCACATGTTAGTGGCCCTAACACCCTATTCATGACCGCTGTAAAGGTTTTCTTAAATTCTATTATCAATTCTGTATCTCTGTACATGATACAGGTTTAAATGTTCAAGTAAACTGTCATCTGTAAAAGTCAGTGCTTCATGCAACAAGAGGCCCACGGGCCTTATAGGTCACCTGAGCATTATGCAACAACTTTCCAGTGATTGAATTTGATTCATGTTTTAAACCAGATGCTATGCTATTCACAATTTTGAAAGAGGCACCATTGATCATCATAACAATACACTTAGCAGTTGCTTAGTTTGTTTACTTAATACCTATAGGCAGGGTAGGGGAACAAAAAATGCATTTCAAGTAATCAGTAATATTCAGCAATAATCAGTAATGCCCCTATCACACATCAACCCCTGACCCTTAAGCTTAGATACACACATTGCATAAATTTTGAAAAGGTACCCTTGCTTTTCATTTTTAATTATAAATAAATATTTGATTAATACCAAATAGCAGATTTCAAATAATTCATCCAGTTTCAGTATATATAAGTATAGTCCCCCCTATGGTACCCCTGACCCTGGGGCCTTGAAATTCGCAATTCTGGAAGATTAGCAACTTTGCTCATTATAACTATATAGGTAGTTCATCTGCTTAATACCCAGGAGCAGAGAAGAATACTTTCAAAGATTTACTGTATTTTCACTATATAATCAATAGAGCCCCGCCCTATCACTAGAACCCCTGACCCTGGGGCCATAAAATTCACAATTTTAGTAGAAGCACTCTTGCTCATCATAACTATGCACTTAGTTAGTATATTTAATACCCAGGAGCAGAGAAGAAGATTTTCAAAGAATTCATGTATTTTCACTATATAATCTATAGAGCCCCGCCCTAACACCAGAACCCCTCACCCTGGGGCCATATAATTCACAATTTTGGTAGAAGCACTCTTGCTCATCATAACTATGTACTTAGTTGGTTTATTTAATACCCAGTAGCAGAGAAGAAGATTTAAAAAGAAATAATGCATTTTCACTATATATACTTATTTAGCCCCGCCCTAGCACTAGAACCCCTGACCCTGGGGCCATGAATTTCACAATTTTGGTAGAGGACTCCATGCTGATTACAGTCATGCAAACAATTTGACTGCTTGATGTCCAGGAGTAAAGAAGAAGATTTTTAAAGATTGCATTAATTTTAGTGGTTTTTGCCCCACCCCCCAGGCCCAAGGGGGGCAGGGACCATGAAAATCACAATTTTTGTTCCCCTTTACCCATAGATGCTTTTTGCCAAATTTGGTTGAAATTGGTTCAGTGGTTGCAGAGAAGAAGATGAAAATGTTCAAATGTTAACGCACGACACACAACACACAACACACAACACACGACGCACGACGACGGACGAAAACAGATAGCAATAGGTCACCTGAGTTTACTCAGGTGACCTAATAAAATCCAATAGGGCTTTCATACTTCACATGAGTATCCACTGTAGTAGACCTTTCTAAGGAAATAAAAGTTTTTGACTTTTGAGTTTGACCCACACTTGGCCATTACTTCAGAAACTTTGTACAAGGACCTTCATATTTTATTTTACAGATGTATTCCTTGTGACAAGACCTTTGCTTGGATACCAACAATTTTGACTTACTCTTAAAAAACTATACCCTAGTCATCACTTTTGAACAGTTTGTGCTAGGGCTTTCATAATTCACCACCATTTTTCATCTCTTGAATTTGACCTTGGAGTTTGACCTGACTTGTACCTGACAAACTTTAACCTTTGCCAATTGCTGCCATATGGGGACATCAGTATCTCACAAAACATCTTGTTTAACTTAAACAGCTAGTTCACCTAGGTATCCTGGAGAGAAGAAGATGTTAAAAACTGCAAAATGTTGATGGCTTTGTCATTCTTGTGCTATTTCTGCTCCTCTATAGTGACAGATGTTAATGCAAAAATGGTTGAAACTAGATAGTCATTTCAGAAAAGAAGCTGAAATGTTCCTACAAAAGAACTTGTTCATTGCAGATTTACTACGACTACTTCCTAGTTGTAAAGCTTAATTATAGAATGATAGTTCGAATAAAGACACAAGGATGATGTGGCACACCTGCATTTTTTATGATTCTTACAGCTTAATTAGAAACTAAAATAGAAAAAACAATTAAATTATACAAGTTTATCACCATAAACTTCTTATAACTTGGTAAAAAAGAGAACCAAAGTTTGGATCTAGGATAGCAGACAAACTAAACCTAATTCTCTCTCACCTATTGATAAAATATTTATAAGGCCACAAAGGAAAAATCTCTCATCATGTATTTACAGAAGAGATTTTTATCTCAATTAGATTGAGGAAAAAATCAGATATAATTTCTCATTATAGAATTAGTACTTCCTTGATTTAGTCTGTATACCGAACAGCAGAAAATATGTTCTTATTGACCATTAAACAAATACAGGTGAAAAAAAAATTATCATCGGAAATACATGTAACAAACAAAACAAGTAACCAAAGAAATCCTGTGGCTAAAAACAATATAACATACTGTACAAACTCAATACACTCGGCAATATGACATACAGTATAAAAACAAGTATTTTAGCAGTTGCAATCAAAAGGCTCATGGCCTATAACAGTCACTCGAACCTCACAAGGTATGTATTTCTAAGTCTTTTTACCTGTGCTCTAAAATTTCTTTCTACTGATAACAAAAAAAAAAACAAGAACCATAGGAAATCCCACTGGTCCAAAGGGCAATGATATGAAACTAAATTTGTATCTACACTGCATGTAGATGTTGTTTAAAATCTCTCTTTTTATTGATTAAAAAGTGTCAAACTGAGACAGAACATAACGAAAACTTACTGCTAAAATTCAAGTGAATGGCTTTCCGATTTCCGTATTATTATCATAATAGCAAAATATGAGATGCATTTCGGACTCGGAATCCATACAAAATATGTCAAAACCGTAAGAGTAAACAGGTCTGGAGATGGTTTAAATACATGCTTTACCTAATACTGGAATACATGTATATCTGTAATGTGTAAGTAATGTGTAAGAATGGAAGTTATGGTATCTGGTAGCATCTGATGGTTCTTAAAGTGCCAATTCCTGGTCACTGCTAACATGTAAGGGTACGAAATAGAAACTACTAAAAGTAAGCGATTTCTTGCTTTTGGCAAATCAACTATAACTTCTTTTGTATTAAAAAACACATTCTTTCAATGACTCTGTGAAGCAATCATGTGGCACTGTCTTTTTCGCAGTTCCATAGCAATACATGGAATGTATATTCATAATTTGTGAATTGTATAATTTGGGGTTTGCCACCAGCCTTCAAGCTCTCAATCTTTATGAGAGTAATCAGGGATAAACAAGACACTCCATCAGATCCGTCACTTCTCTCCCTCCTCCTCTGTCCCCACAAATCGCGTACTTTCCAAAAACATGGGCGTCACATTTTTCTGCATACCTGCTGCAATTTCAACAGATTTCAGAATTTGTTCTGCAAGAAATATGGATTCTTCTTCTGTCTACAAAATATGTTTTGTACCTTTATACAAGTTGTATTCAAAGAAATATAGTTTTTTATGCAGTAATATTCAGGCAACATTTTAATGTATGATTCTTCCTGATATCATGCTTTACAATATTGCGATGTGGAATTTAACATTGATGGAATATCCCTCAAATACTTCAATGATAACAATCTTAAATAAATAAAAACACATTTTCATCTTATCATTACTTTAGTATCAAATATATATGATTATTATATTGGACCTCTCTTATCAATTATCGTTACACATAGTAAGCAGCACACTATATCTCAAAAATAAAACACAACATTCATTGACTATATTCTCTGACAAAATGCATTTTGTCTACCCCTAAAACCATAATTATTTTATTTGCCTTTGGCATAATGGTCCCTGGCAAACAATTTGGTTCTTGGACATATAATAGAGGGATCTATTTTATACTGAAAGGAAAAAGAAATACATAAGAAAATATATGCAAATTTTTTTCGACTATCGGTACATTGCCGAAAATTATGAAAATTGGACAGATGTGTATTTTGGTTACTTAGCACTTAAATCGCTGGTCAAAACTACTCAAACATGAAATGTATAATTAAAACGGCAACAACACGTTGCTGTGCAGTTCGTTTTGAACTTTTCAACCAACTTTTCTGGTTGTCAGCCAGTAACTTAAAAGGTTTCCAACCAACCATGACAGTGACGTTAGCGCGTAACAACGTCACATCAAGATAGGGCTTTTCACCATGCCACCTCGGTTATCGGCAAGACATTATCACTGAAACCAATATTTATACAGCAGACATTTATACATGAGTACATCATACTCATATTTTTCACCCTAAAATTGACAGAGATTCTCTGCTCAAATTTGGTCCACGAGCTTGGCAACTTTAACGTTGATTTTACTCTCACACGCTTATGTACGCATCATATACGTAATACTTTTAGCATATTCATACACTGGGAAAATAAAGCCAGTGTTTGTCGAGACTTTCTTACATTCTATCCTTTATCGAAAATTCGTGGGATTCATTGGGCAGGGGGATTTGTTGGCTTTAGAATGTTACAGCTACTCTCAACCATTAAGACTACCATTGGTAGGGTTGAATAATAATCCTTTGTGAAAGATAAATGCTCTGGTGAACTCAATACACAGGAAAATCAAGGCTGTTACTGATGCGCAAGGGAGATGGTGAGAAGTTTTATCTTAATTTTGGGGGGTATCGACATATGAATTTCAATAACTCATGAATTATCAGTCAAAGTCACACAAGATTTTCGTAACTTGTTAATTAAAGATGAATTAAAATGTTTGATAACAATATTGGAAAATATATTAGAAATGGTAATTCTAATTAAATTCAAAAGTTTCTTTTTCTTTTCAGTATATGTCACTGGTCTGACAAAATACACTAAAAGAAAGATAACTCCTGAACAACCTACCTCAAATGAGCCATACAACACATCTGATTTATACTGCTTCGAAAGCTGAACAATTTGTTCAATAAAAATGGCTCTCTTCTCTGGATTCTTCACTTCAAATGAAAACAAGAACAGATTCATTACTCTGTAAAAAATACCTATAAAAAGGACTTTTTAATGAGGTGTATTGCCTGTAATACCATTCTAAAGTACATGTGAATTGTCTTCAAAGTGAAGCTGCAGTTAACTTTCATGTCTATCTGTCTGTCTGTTTGTTGAGAACAATAAAAGTTTGATTAACCTGATTTTGATGCAAAGTTGCAAACCCAAAAGATAGGTATGTTCATTATTTTTCTTACAATTGTGTTTTCTTTTTTTAAAGAATCTTGAAAACGTTTCCAAATGTTTTGAACTCTTCAAACATGTGCCTAAAAATCTTGCTCTTTTACCAGTATTTCATAATTACTTAAATTGTAATCAGACAAGGCCATCCTTAAAAAAAATGTTTGTTTGGAATTGCCGCCTGAAGGGTTTCAGACACAGGAGGGAGGGAGGGAGGGAAATTATTATTTTTTTTAATTGAAGATAAATTTTAATTTTTTGATAAAAATCTCAGTAAACAGTAAATACATTTTCTGACTTTTAAAAAAAAGTATCTACCATCAACAAAAAAACCTAATTTTACACATATCTGACACAATATTTCAGTGTTTTGTATGGTGTACCTGATACATGTACATGTAATGGGCAAAAAAAAAATTGATTTAATAAAAAAAAATCTTCCTACTTTTGGTCAATAAAATTTTTTCAGGAGGGGGCATTTCAATTAGGCGGGAGGCAATTTCAAACAAACTATAATTTTATTTTGGCCCAAAGCATTAATTTTTTACCTTTTAGGGCAATAAAACAGCACTGTCCTAGGAAGTATCGAACATCAACATGCTTCAGTGATTCCTCTACTGTTTTTAAGCTTAAAAAATTCAAAACAAACAAGTTTGAGTTAACACATTTAAATTTAAGAACAAGAGGCCTAATTACTGTAATTGTCATTTGAGTAACATAGTTAAGTAATATATGTCAAACTTTTAGACAAATATATATTTGCAGTGAAGCCCTAAAATGAATTAACATTTGTGTATCTCAAACCTTATGTTAATCAGTTACAGCAGTGCTGATCTCGAGAAAAATATTCACTAATATATTCCTTCTTGTATGTAAAATAACCTGAAGCCTGTTCAGAACAGAGCGAACGTTTGCGAGTGCTCACCAAAATTCCTTATACCTCCAACAGAAATGTTCGCGAGACTCGTTCTGTTGAACAGGCCTCTGGTTTTGTCTTTCTGGTGCCATATCTTACTCCCTCCTAATTTGGCATTTAATACAAACTAGGAATATTACTAAAAAATGCTGAAATATAGCTTTGTTGCTACCTAAATATTAACAACTACTGAATATTAATTATCTCCCTTATTAGACCTCCTATCAGTACTGTAGTTCACTATATTTTCATGACAACTTATTTTCACAAGATAGTCACTAACTTGTTACTAGTGAGAAAAAAATTCACAAAATGTGGTCATTACATCTTCAGGAGAACTAAAAATCACATTTTTGTGATCAAAGTGTCTTGCTTAATTAATTAAAGTTCTCCTGAAAAGTGATTTACAGTAGTACATGTACATACATGTATCAATAATACAATACTCAATGTACTTAATCCTAAAAACTTCTTTTGTGGGGGTGTATACAAACTACTAAAAATTCAATCTGCTCATCTTTTTTATATTAAAGAAAACCACCAAAAATCATCAAATGTAACAGCCTGATGCCCCTGCTTACCTATCTCTGCTGGTCAGATCAATCAGGAAGCAGATGTAGTCTATCCTGGGGCGAGATTTGTCCGAGGTTAATGGCAGAGGGAGGGTGATAGCTGTCCTCCTGAAAATAAATACCACATATAAAACAGAAAATTTAGCAGGATTCATTTCTAGCCTTTTTCACAAGGGTGTTGAGATCACTAAAATCAAATATCTGCATTAGAGGTTACCTCAATCTTTCTATGCACCATGAAATCCCTTAAATTACATCTCGATAAAATTAATATCTGATTTTTCAGGACAAATTGTTTTATTTCCATCTAGTAGCTAAACAAACACTGAATGATATATTTAAAAATAGGTATTCTCCAACACATATATTTGGTAAAACATGTTCTAAAATCCGAATTACCAAAATATTCAGACATAGTAATGATACTCAGTTTTACTCACACCTGCAGGTAGAACCAGGAATTCTTGATCAAACACTTCCCAAAGTCATGTTTACCAATACCCTCAGATCCAACAAGCTGCAAATGATACAGGAAATGTTATATATATTCTTCTTGATAATTCTCATGGACTATATGCAAGTTAAATTTATTACCGGTATAATGAGCACAACTTAATCTCGGATAAGATTTGACATGGCTGGATATTTGGGCAACTGCTGTTGAAGCTGGCATTTATATAGTTCAAATGTCTGGTCAAGTCCAATTTCAGCCGAGCTTAGATCACAAAAACTGAGGGCCAAAGTAAATTAAAATATATACGGGTATTTCTGATCAAGTATATGAAGCTTATCTCATGAATTGTTAAGAGGCATGTTCAACCGTGTTGCACAGTGGTTAGAGCGTCTGCTCTAGAGTTACGATTCGCAAAGTAAGGAGTTGATCCTTATGTAGCAGGTTTGAATCCCACTGTGGGACGTGGAGACCAGTCCTTTGGATAAGACCATAAACTGAGGACCCATGTCGCAGTAGGTGCTGGCACAGAAAAGATCCCCACCTGCTCAATGGCCATAAGTGCCGGGCATAGGACAAAATTTGCAGCTCTACACTGGCAAGTGGTGGTATCTCCATATGAGTCCGTGAAAAATTCTCCTTAGGGAAGTTAAAGAACTTTAAACTTTAATCAATCTTAATATGATGGTGAGTGGGAAAAGTCTTGCTTCATCATAGCTCAAATTACTGTACTACGTCAAAGTATGAAAAGTTATGCAGGAACAATAAGCCAATAGTAAGTAAACTATTCCATAATCTCCTTGTGGGGTTGTCCCTGTGACTGTGGAATTTCCCCGTCTTAAAATGATATAACTCCTTCGTCATTGTGGTATTCCTCCTAAACTCCCAATATGGAGCAAATCCCCACCTGCTTTTTAAATGCCCTTTCTATTTCAACTTTTAGGGTCAAGTTAAGGACAACCCTGTCCTTGTGAATGGCAGACAATGTTCCGGGCAATAAAACTAATATGAGCTCACTTTTAATCTCAGTCTCACTTTTCTTCTTTTAATGTCTATGCTAAAAGTGGGACTTCGATCAAAAGTGAGCTTGTCTAAGTTTTGTGGCCCCGGAGCCAGATACTTTCTTGTAAAGTTTCACCGACTGATCGAGGAAATTCGAATAGATTATGGTATAGTCTATCACAGGCACCTGAATTTTTATCAATAAGTCGCTGATTAAGCCAAATATCGAAAAATTCTACCCCCTCTATATATATATATAGCGGGGGTAGAATTTTTCGATATTTGGCTTAATTAGCGACTTATTCTGTTATTGATAAAATTTAAAAATTCAGGTGCCTGTGAGTCTACAAACGTGAAAACTACTTACCAACACTGTTGCAAGCTGATATTGTGGTATTTTATTATATGGCATTAAAACAGAATCATTCATGATTATGAAAAAGCTGTAAATGACACGGAACCTTCAATTTTTCCTCTTGAACGGATCATTCGTTGATGTTTACGTTTGAAATACGCGGGAAATAGGAAAACTCCCGAGGAGTCACGAAGAAATGCAGGCTTTAAAACTGGAAACGGTGAAATATATAATTCCGCTTTATGACGAGAACTGCATTGAATCATACTCCATAATATGATGGGTAATGATTGTTTAAAAGGCCGGGGATGGGAAATATTCCCGCCTATAATGATGTTATCCCCCATTATTTTGTCATTTATTTCTAAACTCCCCATTAACATTAAGGGGGGATCGACCCAAGACCCCTCATATTTTTAAATGCCCTGGCCCTTCTATTTCAATTTAATATAGTTTTAGAACAAGCCTCTTTGTTAGATCAAATGAATTGGACTGGACATGAACATGTTTTAACCCCCCCCCCCCCCGCTTTGGAAATATAAATCTTATTCGTTTGTAAGACTGTCCGTCTGCCAGGATTTCTTCGTGTTTTTCAACAGCAATCTAAAATCATAAGTTTATAACCCATTGTGTGTTGTGTCTCTAATATATTCTTTCATTTTTTTTTACAACAAAACATTCCTTACAATCGTTGTTCATCGCCCCTGTGATTTTTAACACCTTGACATGAAAGTTTGACAGATATAATTTTCTAAAATTTTAATATTGCTAATAACTTTTGATTTCAGTAAAGAAAATGACTTGTGCACAACCTGTTTCAATACGTCTCCGAATGTATTCTGGGTATTTGATATGGTAACTTTACCTTAAAGTTGAACCTACATATTTTTATGCCCCCGTAATCGAAGATTCGGGGTATATACCGTATACCGGTAAGTAGAAATTTTAGCGAGGACTTAATTTTGGCATTATTAGCGAGGGTGCTGAGATCGCTAAAATTACATATCGCTAAAAATTTATTGCGTTTTATTTGTAATAGGTTCTTTAATGAACAATTTAAAATCGCTAAAATTACATATCGCTAAAAATAAAATACCAGTTTTTAAGGACAAATCGCTAAATTTCCGTCTCGCTAAAATTTCCACTTATACGGTAGTTTTTGCCCTTTCCGCCAGTATGTGTTTGTCCGTAAAAACTTTAATCTTACTCATAAATTTTGAGTGGGTCGGGATATGGCTTTCTTTGTCATATGTGTATACCATGTAACATGACCTTTCTTTTGGTACCACTAAATTTGACCTTTTGACCTTGGAGTTTGACCCACTTTTACAAAAATTCATCACACTTTTACAATGATCATAACTTTTGAACAGTTGGTGCTGTGGTTTTCATACTTCACATGCGTATTTAGTCATGTTGTATATATACCGGTATTCTGATCACGGGTACTTGTGGACAGGACAACCCCCCCCCCCCCCTCGATATTCAACCCCGGGGCTTATTGGACATTTTTTTCACAAATTATATTTATTACTTTTATACATCATGTGTACAATATGAAAAAAAAATCGTCAAAACCCCAAAACAATCGCTCCTAAAAAAAAAAATACCCCACTATACATTATAAGGGAGATAGTGGGGTATTTTTTGAGGAGCGATTGTTTTGGGGTTTTGACGATTTTTTCATTTTCTTGATTTTGTACACACGATGAATAAGTGTAATAAATATAATCTGTGATAAAAATGTCCAATAAGTCCCGGGGTTGAATATCGAAGGGGGGGGGGGTCCTGTCCAAAAGTACCTGTGATTCTGATTTTTTCGGAATTTTGTATTTACTGACAACCGGTAAATAAAAATTTACAACAAAATTTCTTTCATTGGGTATCGATTTTTTTGACCTTGACCTTAGTGTTTGACTTACTTTTTAAATACATCAACCTTGGATATAACTTTTGAACAGTTAGAATTATGGCTTTCATATTTTTCAGGTGTATTCCCTGTGACAACACCTTCCTTTGGGTACCAATCTTGACTTTTTGAGTTTGGCATGCATTTGAGAAAATTCAACCATCGCCATAAGCTACATAAATGTGTATTCATAGCTAATTTACATGTAAATCATGTAATCATATATTTAATACTATTTCGTTTTCGTAATTGATTAAATCAATCAATAAAGGATATCGGAATATTTTTTTTTTTAATTTCCTGTCACTTCTTTAAGATTCAGTTACTTCAATATTGTCTTTTAGAATTTGGTACATTATTTTCTAAAGCTATTTATGCTTGCAAATTACACAATGAATAGTTCAAAGTCCAAATAAATAAGTCTATTGCAATATTTGTCCATGCCCTGTGTTAATTTAGTAATCAGGTAAATTGATAAAAAAAACTGTTCGAAATTTGATTAACAGTCCTGAAACAAAAAGTATTTGAATTGTAATTTAACGTTATACTTTAAATTAAATAATTATTATTTTTAATAAAAGTGGAAAGCCTCACGTCAGCTTCTTTTGGTTTCAGGGGCACTATGATGTTTGTTCGAGGACAGTCGTGTGAGAACATTATGCCGTGCGCTGATTGGGCAATAAGTTGGGTTAGGTTCACGAGATTCGTGGCGTGATGTCATTTCCCGTGATGATACCTTAGGGAGAGGATACACGCGTACAACTGCGTTAGGTGAGCAAAGAAGGATTTAAAGGACAAAAATGGACAACGAGCAAAGGCAGAAAAATCAGGAAAAGAAGGCATTAGCAGGAAATATCACTGCACCTCCTACAAATAGCTTTAATTTAGCTAAAGCAACGAAGTCAATTCTTGCAGGTGAGTGGGTAAAGGCAAAGGGTTTACGAAAACTTCGTGTGAAGTAGGTCGTATCGTTGGAAAACACCCTTAAAATTATCTTATCTCAATGACCAGGAGGGAGCCCCTGACACATATTTTCTCTGTATAAATGAACCTTGGACTTCGATTTAAAAATAATTCGTGCTAAAATGATGACTGGTAACTGGTCACGACATCTTGCATCATCTTGTAGAGCCGAGCATGTGTTGTGTTTTTGTTTTGATTCTAAATATAGATTTTCACGTTTTTTCATGTTTGTTTGAATGTCATGACAATCGAAAAATAGAGAAATTTATGATTTCTAGTGAAAATAATATTCATTATTAGTGATTATGTTTTGGTAAAACAGTAGTTAAAATCAGAAAAAAACTTAAAAAACTAAATATATATGTAATGCTCTTTTATGTTTTGTATCAAGATTACCTCAAATAATTTTTTAAATCCCTGAATATTCTTAAAAACTAATTGAATATTAATATGTGTATATTACACTTGCTGTTTAGTGTTTTTGAGGTCAAATATGATGATTTAGTCACCTAAGGAGTACAATATTCACCGAACCCAAAGGATGAGATGAATTAATATTGTATATACATTGATTGAAAGTGGCTAAATCATTGTATTGACTGAAAAAACAGCAATGATTGTTTTATTTTGTGATTCAATGATAGAATGAAACAAAAAGTTAAAGCTGTTCATGCCATCTATCGTGTTTTTAATATATTTGCTGAAGTCCTAACTAAAGCATAAAGATTTTGTCTTAAATTATACTTTTATAAGATGTTTCGATCATTATCCTGGGGCATTAAGACTAACCTTTTAATGAATAGTTGTTTCAAGGAAGGAAAGGAAATGGGCAATCAAATCATGTGCAAAACTGGCAAAATGATGGTAAAAAGTTTTCATAACAAGGCTCTTATCAGTGAGTTAACGTGATGATTTATTTTCCCCGAAAGGACTGTTTTGTAATGTAAGTTGAATCAGTGTATTTTAATAGTTTTTGGCAGTGTAGATATTTTCATTTTTTTTCTACACCCACTTGGACGTTTCTTAGTTGCACATCGTCAGTATTATATATAAGTTTCTATGTGTTGTAAAAAAAAACCCTAAAATATATGAGTTTCTATGTTTTGGGATGGCGTTAGGTAATGTTTTTCAGTAAAAATGACTGTGACGTAGTCTTTGGGCTGAATTTGACATTCAATCATTGTATTTGTCCAAATAAATGTCTTTATTAAGAATCCTTCTAGGAAGTTTGTCATTCTGCTGAATGTTGTTTATTTTTAAATTTTTTAAACTGAATGGATTGAAAAGAAGTACCCAGCCTTGGGAGATATGAGGGTATAACAATAATAGAGAGACTTCCTGGTCTAGTAGAATACCTCCAAACAGGTCTGACAGAACAGCATAATAATGGTCAGGAAACTTGATATCTTCATGCCTCTGACTCTCTTTCACGGAATTCACGCAATATGAATGCTTGAGAAAGATTTTAAATTTTTGAGCTTTAAATTGTTATGCATTTGAAGTCGTTAGTAGAAATATGGGTTCCTGAGATTACTATGACTATTCAGGTCACTAGATGAAGTGTCACTGAAAATAACTCTTATCTTAGAATTGTTCTAAAGGTATAAAGTATTCAGTACAGTGAACTTATTTTGACATGTAATATGTAACTGGGAATGTTTAAAATCAATGGTTAAATGAATGTTCCATTAAAATAATTATAGTTTTATTACGCAGGTATATTAAATGTCACAGTACTTAATTATAGGGGTTTGCAAGCACTTGTTCAAATAAATTTTTTCATTGTTTTGTCACAACGGAGTCTTATCATATTGGACATTATATGCACACCTCACTGTGTATTAAACATCATTCTAATTTGATTGTCAATGTTATATAGTACAGATTACCAGGAGTAACAAGTGCAAAAGCTAATTTTGTTTAAATACTAAATATAAAAAATTAATATAAATTTTTCTGTGATATAAATAGGCCATCTTAAATAAAAGTGTCTTTTTGTCCTCTTAATTTGGGATTAAAAAAAAACAATGGGTGGATTTCTTTACAGTATGTTAGGGGTCTTGATTCAACATGTAACCATTTGACGACAATGTGTGTTGACTCAGGATCCCTGCTGAAATTGTGAGTGGGTATGTAGGGAGAATTTTTAAAATTAATAAAAACACTTGCAAATATGTAAAACTGAAATAGTTATTAATAATTTGAAAAAACCTTGCCGGCTTGGAAATGAATAAAAATAAGACTTGCTTCATAGAGGTTAAAAAAAAGTTTTGAGTATGGCTGTTTTTAGTTGGTCAGAAGAGGACAAACAAAATTTTATAAAGATTGCCCAGGGAATGTAGTTGTCACAGATCTGTATGAAGGTTGAAGTACAGAATCATTTCTAATATATACAATTTTAATCCTGTAAAGAGTAAAGTTTAAACCTTCTAGGACATACATTTGTTTATAACCATACTGTCTGTTATATATAGTTTTTGAGGGACAAAGGTGACACGTTTTAAGGAGCTATTGATCATTTGATGAAATGAGATAGGAATACACTGTAGTATTGATCATCCTCATGGTGCTAATGTCTGAAGAAAGTTGTCATCACCCCATGTAGTTATAAATCTTTACCAGATTGGGTATACACCCAGGCCACTTGAAACACTAGAGAAAACTCATTACAGGTCATGAATAATTCAGACAAACTGTTATGTGTAATTAATTATATAAGACATGTTGTAAACTGATTCATTTTGTTATGAACGATAATTCCTGCTCATGAGTGAGTGATAAAGATCTAAGTCGTTGACAATCTATATATATATATAACTATTGTACCTTATTTGTTTGATCTCTCAAAGATGAAAATTCAGCTGACATGGATATACATGTGTATCCCCTTTTCAAAAAGTTTGTAGAGGAAAACCTGACCCCAAAGTAAATCAACATTGACTAGCCCAAACTTTACCTTTAATCAAATATTGTAAAATCACTTCTTTTTGAGGGTTGAATTTAACTTCTTGTTTAAGGTAAAATTGCTGGTCTGAAGGGGTTTGATTTCAAGGTTATTGGTACCAAAAACAAAAAAAAACGAACAAACTTTAAGATATCCAGGGATTTGAAATGTCTAGGGTGAATTAATAAACAGCAAAATGTAGAATTTGCAATTCTATATTAATTATTAATGCACAATTTCTGTCCTTATTATGTTGCAGTTTTAGTTGTAATTACTGCAGTTGTGAAACAAATCTAAAAACTCCTAAGACACAGATTTCATACCCAGTAAATGTCTCATATTTTTCATGTCAATGCATCAAATTCAGACAAATGGAGTTTGTAAATTGATTTTTTGACGAGGACCCTGGCAAGATAATCCATATTTGTCAGAGAAGAAAAGATTGCTTAATCAATTAGAAACAGCATACTTTGAGAAGCAAGGTTTTTAGATTTAACTGTTTAAAAATTAATCATTTTTTAGACCATTGTCCATTGTTTGCAGCAAAGTTACAGTGTAGAGGTGTAACAATTTTCTAGTAATGAATTTCTAAAAGCATGTAGATAAGGAACTGTTTAAAATTTTTTTTTTTTTTTTTTTTTTTTTTACCTAAAGGAATGTTTGTCATAAAGAATACTGGACACAATATGCCAGCTAGTGGTGTCTATAAAAACATTTTGTGTTTTTTCAAGTTTTACTAAATATTATGATATGGATTACCTATCTCACTCACAGTGTTCATCTGAAAAACTGATGATATATTTAGATTTTTTTGATGTACCAAATGCTGAATACAGTGTTTACAATTGCAAGAGTTTAAAATTGCAAGTTGAATATAATTTAAGTTTATTCTAAGCCTAAGCTTGAATTATAATGATTTTTTTAAACCAATGGGATTTGAAGATCTTGGTGACTATACATATTGCAGGTAACTGCACAAATACCAAGAGTGGACACATTTCATAACATTCAGTCACTCAAGAACCTTTTTATGTTTTCCAGGAAATCTCAACAGTAATTTTTAGAATTAATCATACAACAATATACTTCACATTAAGGACATACGCAACGTACCTTACCTACTGATACATTTTCTAGATACCCATACCGAAAAAAGTTATAACTTAGTTATAACTTTTGTAACTAAAAAAAGTTACAAAAAAGTTATAACTAAGTTATCGGAGTTTGGAATGGCATGTTTTAAGTGAGGTATAATTTAGTTATAACTTAGTTACAAAAAAGTTATAACTTTTTCATAACTTTTCACCTTTTATTGAACATAAATACAGCAAGTACATAAAAGTTATAAAAAAGTTATAACTACAAAAAGTTATACTTATTAAAAGTTACACAAAAAGTTATAAAATAGTTATAAAGTTATACTTTAGTTATACCCAAATAAACAGTGGAAAAGTTACAAAAAAGTTATACCCAAAAAAAGTTATGAAAAAGTTACAAAAAAGTTATACCCGGAAAAAGTTATACCCAGGAAAAGTTATAACTAAAAAAAGTTATACCTTTTATAAAGTTATGAAAAAGTTACAAAAAAGTTATACCCCAAGAAAGTTATGAAAAAGTTATAGAAAAGTTATACCTAAAAAAAAGTTATAACCGCAAAAAGTTATAACTATAAAAAGTTATACCTATTAATAAAAACTTTCGTAAAAGTTCCAGTGAAATTATACACTGTTAACCTGTTGTGGATTTACTCAGTTATAAGCTTTTAAAAAGCTACTCATTAAAATTTAAAAAAAAAAAAAAGATTTTTGAAATTTATACAAAAAAGATTATTTAAAACATATTAAAGGCAATAACAATTTTACCTAACAAACACGATAAAGATAGCTTGGTTTATTGTCAAATACAACTAAATGAATGCACATGCAATTGTTTTAAAAATTCAAGTGTACCTTATTTTACATCATGTCATCTACAACAGATTGAAATTTCTCTGGTTGTTTTAAAGAATACATTTTTAGCATATAGCAATTAGGGTCTTTGTAAAATTACCTAGCAAACAGCATTCTACTCTTGCTAATTGTATAAACAGACGTCACTAATTTTTAAATATTAACACCCTATTTATTTTTGATCTAGCTGTATTTCAAAAAAAAAAAGAAAGGTTCTATAAACAGTTATTTCAGTCACAGTTTCTAGCTGCATACCACCCTCCTTGCACAGGTATCCTTGCAGGTGTACAGTTGTTTATCTTTATTATTTGAAGATAGGCTGCACTGAAAGTTGGCTGAGTTAGCTGACAGACTTAGCCATCGTTTGACAGGCCGCACTGTTAGTAGACCAAGTTAGTTGAAGGACTTGGCCATCGTTTGACAGGCCGCACTGGTAGTAGACCAAGTTAGCTGACAGACTTAGCCATCGTTTGACAGGCCACACTGGTAGTAGGCCAAGTTAGTTGAAGGACTTGGCCATCGTTTGACAGGCCGCACTGGTAGTTGGTCAAGATAGTTGACGGACTTGGCCATCCCTTGACAGGTCGCATCTGTAGTTGGTCAAGTTAGTTGACGGACTTAAACGTCCCTTGACAAGCCGCACTGGTAGAAGGCCAAGTTAGTCAACAGTCTTAACCGTCCCTATATTGACAGGCGGTACTGGTAGTAAGCCGAGCTAGTTGACGAACTTGGCCATCTCTTGACATGCGGCACTGGTAGTAGGTTAAGTTAGTTGACGGACTTGACCATCCCTTGAAAATTAAGCCGCTCTGGTAGTAAGCCAATCTAGTTGATGGACTTGGTTGTTCAATGACAGGCCGCACTGGTAATAAGCCAAGTTAGTTGAAGGACTTGACAGGCTGCACTGGTAGTCAGCCGAGCTAGTTGATGGACTTGGTCATCCCTTGACAGGCCGCACTGGGTCAGCCGAGCTGGCCGAGGGACTTGGCTGGTGGACTGCGTCCCTCATTTTAGCTGGTCAGACGTCTTGGCTGGTGGGCAGTGTGACTGGTAGTCGGCTAAGTTTTCGTTGAAATATGCTTGCAATTTTAACCTTTTCTTCAATTCTGCAAAAAATTGTAAAGGTTCAAAATTTAGATTAAAGATATTTAGATAGTATTTTTCCAGCACTCATTTGCATATCAAATTGAAACACTCTTCCATATCAATTAATTCAAATTCATTAATTCATCCAAAACATGGAAAATACAAGACTAATTTAAGATCTATACTTACAGGAATCAGTTTTAGATTGAAAGATTTATTGAATTTTGAAAGGGAAAAAAAATTTACTTTACCTTAAACAAGTAATATTGTGAAGAATTTCATGTACTCCAGGGCAGGACAGATTCAGCTCATGGAAACATCATGTACCAATATTCTGCTTTATAAAAAAAAAAATAATGTTAAATTACTCATTTCATAGCATTAATTAACACTGCAGCTAGATCATGTTATGATCATGCTGATGCGTATAAGGCTTCACAATATTTTAACAGTTCAGGGAATCTATAAACAATTGTGGGAATAAATATGACAAAGAACATATTTGATTAATATACTAAATGCTGAAAAATATTATGCGTTTCAAATACTTTCAATTTGTTTACTTCAGTCTGTCATTCGACATACCAATCAAAACAAACAAGAAAAATCTAAGATTCACACGCCTAGAATTGTGTTCATTCCCAATATTTCTTCTTTTTGGAATGTTATTCCAGAGGTACTAAGTCTACTTTACCAAAATCAATAAAATGTTAGCATAAATATCGCCTTACCAACTGGTTTTATCTCCTTTTTTTCTATCAACACTTTCAACATACAAACATTCAAATCGTCCATGGAAAAATCCGCGCTCTGTTATTGACCAATCATAGAACTCAAAAACGTCACGTGATCGAAAAGAAATAAAATAAATAATTCATTATTAATTTATTTTAAATGCAAATAAACCTAATTGTGTAATTTCAACCTTAAATTAAAAATATAAATACCAGTTGGTGTTAAAATTTTGAATTTATCTTAGTATCAACAAAACGGACATCGGAGGCCAGCGGCCGCCATATTTGCGGGAATGCCTATTTGAAGACCTACAGGTAAATGAAGACCTACGGAAGACCTACGGAAGACCTACAAAAATTGGGGATATATATATGAAATCTGATATGATAATCTTATTCAGCATGTCTTAAATATAAAATATATCAAAAAAAAATTTATAAAAATACGTTTTAAACAGTGTTTTTGGAGCTCGGTATGAGGAACCATTTTTTCTCCAAAACGAACTAGCGCAAGAACGATAACTCTTGTTGAAGTGTCAATGTACAAAATCAGCCAAAGAATATTTCCTATTTGTTTTTTTCATAGAAGATGAATTTTTTTTCTTGAATATATTATAATAAAAAAAAATAAAAATAGAGCACTAATTGTAGAAAATTATAATTTATGAATTGATAGTAATAATTTTTAAATTAAATTAAAAATGAATTACATTACTGTAATATATTGTAAATAAAAAAAGAACTCTGAGCCATAGTTGTGAACTCAATATTTCTGCATTTCTGATTAATTTTTATTAATTTTTATATTTCTTGAATTCATAACTATGTTTCCAGATCCTACGACGTGGACGTGGTTCTTTACAGGATCCTTTTATTTATTTTTTTTTTTTTTGTTTATTTTTTTTGAATTTTTTTCTTAAATAATAATTTAACATATATATTTTGGCATGCCTATGTACAACATATGAAAAAGGAAAAAGAGCTAACACATCTCTCTACACAGCCGTCAAGCGGAGGAGATTCAGATGGTTAGAAATAATTGTCATTTAAACTAACACATCTACCCAGTAGATGCTGATCATACAATGAGCAAGCTGTGACTATTTAATTGGTGAACATGAAGTGAACTGGTTTTAATTAAATAAATTGTCTAAATTAGATAAACCTTCATAAATTTGAATTAATAGATTAATGTTCACCATAAGCTCAGTTTACAAATCAATATTCATCACTTTTTAACCCAAGCAGACTTAATAGTATAAAACACACTTGTTATCATCCTTACCCATCATTTCCAACCAAAGCAACAAGCAAAGCAACTTGGAAAATACTTATAGACATATTTTTATTATACATCATATAATTAAAATCATTTTAATCCTTTTAATCATTTAAAATTTATAATATTGAACATACTTGCATATATATTATTTAGTGTCATTTTGTATTTATCACAGTCATCTTCATCTTCCTAACTACTTTTGTTTTCTTTTTACAGTTAAGATGGAGAGAGTTGCACTTTTGGGTCACAGCTATATTGCACGGCTGGAACAAGACATCAAGAATGGACGACTCAGCGTTGGAACTAATCTCAGCCTGCCAGACAACTACTCGGTGGAATACTTTGGATTCCGAGGAGCAACAACTTCATCTCTGCTGACAAGTCCCCAGATGCAAGTGTGTGAAGAATACAACCCCACCAAAGTGTTTATTCAGGTTGGAGGGAATGACATCTCACCGGTTCTGTCATCTGTGGATGTTATTCAGGGAATTCGAGAGGTCATCGACAAAGTCCTGGGATTCGACAGTGTCCATACAGTCATCATTGGTAGCCTTTTCCATCGGACCAAGCCCAGAGGAATGACAACTACAGACTACAACGTACAAGTGGATAGAGTGAACAAGTTTCTCCAGAAGTTTTATGAGCAAGACAACAGAGTGCACTTTTGGAATATCCGTGGACTAGTGAAACCTACATGGAACATTTGGTTAGATGATGGAACCCACCTCAACATTTCAGCAACCAGGAAGTATGCTCAGCAGATCAGGATGGCCCTCAAGTGTGAAAGTTACAGATGAGAGACAAAATAGTGTGCATTCAAATATTGACATATAATATATGTGTATGAATTTTAATGTTTCATTATGTTATACTATTCATGTCATGTTCAATTAAATTTTATTTATTTCCTTGCTTGTTATGAAATAGACAAATAAATAATAATGAAAACAATGTTGATATATTTAGGTATTGAAATTTTTTGCCACAATGTATATAGAAAATATGAAATTGTTTGTATTTTATATGCATAAATTCTTTGTCATTTAAAATAAAAGTAAAATATAAATAATATACATCTGTGCTATTGTGTATTTTAACATTGGTATTGTATTTAAGAAACCACTGTTGACTCTAAATACACACACACAGGCTGAGTGGGTCTTGTGTTAATTGTTATCAAAACATGGACATCCTCCAATAGCTCTTGGTGTTTGTTGATAGTGTGTTATTAAATCCAATAATCCTTCAAAGTGATAATCCAGTTATAAAAAATAATAAGTTTAATAAAAAAAACAATAAAAAAAAAATTATACACATAAAGTAATATAATGTTAAAAATTGTTTATATATTTAAAAAAAAAATTTTTTTGTTAATAATCAGAAAAAATAAAATATATATAATTATAAATGCACTCTTATACATTTAAATATATGAAATAATGTTGAATAATATTTGAAATAATTTTCATTAAAATTCCAATGTCAATTCAATGTAAATATACTGGGTTATAACATCGCTGTGGTCTCTTGTTTACAAATCGACACGAGTTATCTTTCTTGCGATAGTTCGTTTGGGAGAAAAAATAGTTCCTCATACCGAGCTCCAAAAACACTGTTTAAAACGTATTTTTATAAATTTTTTTGGGATATATTTGATATTTAAGACATGCTGAATAAGATTATCATATCAGATTTCATGTATATAATACACATTTGCGTAGGTCTTCCGTAGGTCTTCATTTACCTGTAGGTCTTCAATTAGGCAGGCCGATATTTGCCGCCATTTTGAATTTAATATTTGTTTATTTGTGAAAATAACTATTATAACTGGGTTATTTAATTATGCAAACAATAAAATCTACATGTACTAGTCATCTGCTTAAATCTTAATATAAGTGGCAGTCTTTATTCACAACATCGTAATATCTGTTCAACATGAACATGCACATACTCTATGCTGCTGTTTATCTTTTTAGCCACCCATATTACGACTGATTTTCTGCAGATTTCAAACAACCTGTGTAGAATTGTACCATTCAGAGATTGTGTAATACCCAAGCTGAAATATTTACGATGTGTTGGCCACAAAGGTCACCTAGTACAAACACCTGTCTCACAGAAAACAATAGGGAAATTTACACAGTTTTGCACACGAAGACTTCATGAGATTACATTTCATACTGTTTATATCTCTTGCAGTACATTTATATTTCCCCAGAATTATGAAATATATTCATTCCCAACTTCAGATGTAAGTGCATTATTATAATTTACAAGACAAATATGTCTCATCAGGGTCTCAATAAATACGTATTTTCTAAGAGAGAGAGAGAGAGAAGGAGAGAGAGAGAAATTAATTATTCTCAACTTTAGTTGAAACTTACATGACAAATATCAATTTAAATAGACAATAATATTTATTACACACACATGACATGTACTGTGTACACACCTTCAAACACCACAGAGAGAGAGAGAGAGAGAGAGAGAGAGAGAGAATTTCTCATTTATAGATGTAATTCACAAGATTTTATTTCACATCCCTTCTGTTGAACTTGACATGGCTGTGGACAGCATATTTACCGGTATTATGAATGAGAAGTCGATCACTGGTAGTAAACAATATTATTGTTCAGGAATTGACAAAGTTTTCTGCTGCAGTGTTTGAAAAAAAAAAAAAATTTTGAACACGATCAAAATTCATTCAAATTAACACTTAGTTTATATGTTATTTTTGAAAAAAAAAAAAGTTGGTGTCAAGTAGTATCCATTAAATAACCCCCAAAACTTGTAAATTTATACTGGTAATGCTTGAAAATGGCTAAGTTCAGAAAAGTTACATTTTAGTTATACATGAAAATGACAAAGTCCAGAAAAGTTATGTTTTAGTTACACATGAAAATGGCTAAGTCCAAAAAGTTACATTTTAGTTATACATGAAAATGACAAAGTCCAGAAAAGTTATGTTTTAGTTACACATGAAAATGGCTAAGTCCAAAAAGTTACATTTTAGTTATACATGAAAATGACAAAGTCCCAAAAAGTTACATTTTAGTTATAACTTTTTTGTACCTCACAGGCTAGGTATAACTAAGTTATACTTTAGTTATAACTTAGTTATAACTTTTTTCGGTATGGGTAGTCCTAAATTTAGATTACCGTATAGTGTCATAAGATGTTCATAGACAAAAAATCAGCATGCCTTTCCAGGGATTTTAGAAAGATATCTATTGATGAAAATTCTTGGATGATTCAAAGAAAAATGTATAAAAAATAATAAACATTTTCTAGGTGTTTCTTTTGTCAAATATTGTTTTAAAAGAAGTGTACAATACCATACATAGACAATAAAATATAGCACACAGTTCCTTCAAGATTTGGAACTCCAACTCCACGGAAAAAGACCAAAAGGTTCAAACAATGTTGCGTATGTCCTTAATAGTGTTTTCATGATGTGGTTTAATTCTCAAAATGACCTTGAATTACCCTGGGACGTACAATTCATTACACTTATGGTACATGCCCATTTGTTTGAATTTATAGATACAGTTGAAATGTCTATTCTAAATTACAAATTTAATTCATCCTTGTTTGTGCATGAATATTAAATTGAGTATTTCTGAATTAATGTTTGTCTTCATTGATAAACGATCTTGGACAAAATATTTTAATTCTTAGAAAACATGATACTGGTAAATGATCCTACACTTCAATGAAAAATCAAAGTACTCAGGTGTACAGAGAGCCGGGCTTATTTACAGAGTAGAATGAATTTTTTACATGAATCACGTTTATATTCTGATGAAAAAAATATTTTAAAACTATCAATATAAATTATAAGACACTGCCAGTGAGTTTTTCAATCCTAATACCATGGTCCGATTTTGTCAGAATCAGATTTAATCTGGTACTGCATCTGAATGTAAACAAACAGGCCAGTCTGGTTCCCTCTCCTGCTTTACCTGGTATGTGTAGAGAACTACGATAACTCTGATTATCAAAAATCCTTACGCTAATGAACTATGTTCTTTGACTTAGGACTGAAGTTTTCAAAGTCATTACTACTAATGTTTTATATAGATAAAACCTCGTTTTATTTTTGTTGCTTTATTTATCGTTTGCATAATCTCAAAGGCGGTGAAAGTAAGAACTATATTTTTGCACGTAACTTTAAAATGGCGACTATGGGGTTGACATCCTGCCTTGAACAGGATCACATAAGCCGGCAATGGCTCTTTGAGCAATAAGCCTGGCTAAAAAGGTTATTTAGGAAAAAAAAAATACAAAAAGAAAATGGTAATATGGCCACTCTGCTTTGAACCAGTTTTCATCCCATCATTAGTACAAAATCTCAAAATTTACGTTATATTCATGATGATTTTTTTTTTCAGGAGGCATCACAGGAGGATTAGAGATCTGTATAACATTTCCTACAGAATATGTGAAAACACAGCTACAGTTAGACGAACGATCGGGGGTACAGAAACGATATACAGGCCCAGTTAATTGTGTTTCAGTGACAGTGCGAGACTATGGAGTTAGGGGTCTTTATAGGGGATTAAGTGTACTACTATACGGGTCTATTCCTAAGTCTGCAGTAAGGTTAGTATCTATCTGGTCATTACAACATGTCAAGAATCTCTCATTGCCTCCAGAACAAATGCTGAAGAACTGACATGGCTATTTAATACATGTACTATATACTCTAAAATGGGAAACTTTAACGAGGAGGAAATGATGAAAATGAAAAATAACTTTAAAAAATTGTTAAAGTTTCCACTCATCACATTCTTGTTAAAGAGCATTCTAAAATATAAAAATTGTCAAATTTTCAGCCCTTCAATAATCATGTTTACAGTCATTTTTCCAACTTCACGTACTTATTCTTTAACCCTCGATATCCTGAACCTTTGGCTATCTTGAAGTTTGTTTTGGTCCAATTTAGTTTGAGATAATGAGGTTTGACTGTATCTCAACATTGTCTCTGCTATTTTAGTTTGGTTATCTTCATTCTGAGGGAAATTTGGGCAATTAAGAGTCGTGTAATGATTTTTGGTACAAGAAAAATCTATTTAGTATTTAGACTTGAATGCTTACTTGGTAGGAGATTTCGTATAATCAATAAAATTGGCCAAGAAGATGTAAAACTTGAAGATTGGGGCCTTTTATGGTGAATGGGCTTGATTAGGTATCGTCAATCACAGAAAATTACTAGACTCTCCGACGTTGATCAAACTGATTTTTGGATTTGCTCACATCGATTGGAATGCTAGTTAGCTTCTTAGCTGTTGGTGCTGCCAAAATATCCACAGATTAATAACTTCAGAGATGAAGGTTTCTTCATACATACATGTTTTCAAGAAATTTAACTTGATTAAACATAATCAATAAAATTAATTCATTTTTTTGGTTTGAAAAAACAGATATAATTTATTGAATTACCATGCATAAAATTTCCCTCTGGATTTTCCAATGACCATGATTGTACCTGTAAATTTTTCTCTGTATGATATATTTATAGCAATATTATTCTCATTTCCAGGTTTGGGGCATTTGAAGAATTAAAAAGATTTAATGTAGATGAAAATGGTAATCTAAGCCCTCATAAAAGAGTACTATGTGGACTAGGTAAGAACCTTAACTCTTGTGAAGTTGTGAATGAATAAATTCAACATACCTAGTATTTGTTTCAAGTGGCCAGCAAATTAAGTTAGTTGAACATGAATTAATTATAGGTTTTTATATTTGTTTTATATCATAAGCCTATGTAATGTTTCTTTTCAATAGGTGCTGGTGTATCAGAAGCTATATTAGCAGTAACACCCATGGAAACATTAAAAGTTAAATTCATTAATGATCAGACCTCAGCTAACCCCCATTACAGAGGATTTTTCCATGGAGTAAGCCAGATTGTGAAAGAGCAAGGTGAATACAAAGATCAGTTTTATGAACAAGCGAAAACTTTATGCCCATCTAGCTATGAATGCTGCAAGGACAGATTTCTGTCATAATTAAGAAAATTATGAGTTTTTATTCTAAAAAAAAAAATTGAAATTCATGATTTTGATTCAAGTATATAAAAAAAATTACTCCTGATTTGTGTAACTCTAATGATTTTAGATTGATTAATCATTAGTTTGACACATAATACAAGAAAGTTTAATTTTTATCCTTCAGGTATAAAAGGTATATATCAAGGAGTAGTTCCCACAATATTAAAACAGGGATCTAATCAGGCCATTAGATTTTTTGTTATGGAGTCCTTAAAACATTGGTACAGAGAGGGAGACCCCAAAAAACCGGTCCCTGTTTATGTGGTGGGGGCTTTTGGAGCTTTAGCGGGAGCCTGTTCTGTATTTGGTAACACACCAATAGATGTCATTAAAACAAGGCTACAGGTAGGTGTTAATTGTATTTTTATATATGAAACAGTGTAATACATGTTCATGAAATTATATTTTGCCCAGTCCTAAAATAATTGCTTGGAAAGTAATGATCTGAATGTGCAGGAAGAATATTGGTTTTTGCCTTTACTTTTTTAGGGTCTTGATGCACACAAATACAAGGGAACGATTGACTGTGCAGTTAAGATATTTAAGCATGAAGGACCAAGAGCGTAAGTTTATATAATTTTCTTATTTCTAGCAAACAGAAACTTACTTGCTAAGATTGATTGATGCCAACATTTTTTTTGGGGGGGGGGGGGAATGTTCAAAAATTATCGACAGAAATCAGGCTTTAAAACTTCACCTTAATGATTTTAAAATCCACATGTATATGGATAAATGACCATTAAGAAAGACTCTTTTTGTTTTAAAAACTTAAGATTTATAAAGTCAGGAATTCTATCTAGGATGCCAATTTCAGCAAAATGTACACGAGGAATTAGGTTACTCAGTATAATAAAATAGAGTTTTCCTTTGATTTCCTATCAGAATGTATTTTATGTTTTATAGGTTCTACAAAGGCACAATTCCAAGGTTAAGTCGTGTTTGTTTAGACGTGGCCATCACCTTTATGATTTATGATTCTGTTATGGAAATTTTCAATCGTCACTGGAGATGGGGATAAAATCCTAAAATCCAAATGTATCTCCAATGAAGTAATGTATCGGAAAATTTTGAAAACTGCTGGCTTGTTGGACTTGACTAATTAAAGATTATAGACACAAAGTGTTATGAAAAATAACATTAATAAAATAATTTGTGAAAAAAAAAAATATTGAATGCTTAATTTTAGAAGATATGGAGTTAACAATAGAAACTCTTGGATTTATTCCATGTAAAGTTGTGTCCAGCTTGTCCCCTGTTTTCTACAAATTGTATGATTGGATATTTATTTAGATGTAAAATAGCATGATTGGTGAATTATTTGATGTAAAATTGTATTGTTTGAACTGAAATGATTTGATTTTTTTTATATGTAGAGGCATTATATGTTATAAGTGCTCTATACATATTAATTGGGTCTCAGTGGACCTTGCAGCTGCCATATTAGTGTTTATAGTGATAGTGCCAGAATGTGAAGCTTTTATATTCTTATTTATTTCTAACATCTGCTGCAATAGTCCATATATTTACATGTTAACAGGTTTGTGGATCATTTCTGTGTGTGTGAAAGATGATATCTAGTTTTTGTAAATTTCCATTGCATTCCATGAAAATGTTATGTATCAGGCATATGTGTATTTATTTGTCATCTGATGACAAGATTCAAACTAGGCTAGAAGAAAACTGTATGTGTATTCAGGACTTGTGCAAGCAAATTCATGTGTAGTTGCACGTTTTTTGCAGGTATATTACCTGTATATGTTTACTTGATGATTTATTTTGGTTGAAATATTATCGATAATTTTTTCTTGAAAATTTTCATTTCATAGATTGATAATTTCTTAGCGTACCCGGTAAGTTAATACCATAATATAATCAAGCATTGTTGCAATAGAAATGTATTTCTGGATTAGCATGAAACTCGTTTTGACAAAGATACCCCAGACTAGCTTATCGTTCAACAGATTTGTAAAATTTGATTCATTAATACATGTACAGTGTACTAGTGAATTAGAAACTTTAATTGATTTGTCTTTCATTTATTTATCTTAACATCCTTTTTGTCCATTTTTTTTTACACTTAGTAGATACAGTATATATATTTTTTATGAGAATTTTCAACAGTTTAATACTTGTATGTTTATATATCAAAATCATGTTTGCTATGTTAAATACACGTCTTATGAAATATGAATTTATAAGAAAGAAGATTTTATTAAATCAACATCTCAGGTTTGAATTTTTGTGAATGTACAAGTCTTGGTTGAACAACATAAGTTTTAATTAAAAAAAAAACATGGCTTTAAAATATTATGCAATGTACATAAAAATGGGTTTTCATTTTTGGTGGTGATCAATGCATATTTTGATCATAGTTATACATGATGTACAATTGCGGGCAATTTTTTTTAGTGCAATGTAGCATTGGTGCACTCATCTGAGGGTTTTCATTGGTTCCTATGATAAACAAGTGTTCAAATATTTAGCTAGCTTTGTGCTTTAATTAAATTACACACATAAGATAAAGTTATGCAGCTTAATAATATGTTTTCCATGGGAATTTTTTTTTTAATTTTCACTGATCATTAATTTGCATATTAAATGTTACAATCTGACAATATACATATAAATCCAAAATCTAACCAGTATTAAATGTTTATTTTAAGTTTATTTATAATTTTATTTTTGCTCAGATGATTTAATGCTATTTCATTTCATATACATTAATTTGTCATATGTACTTTTTTTCTGATTTTAGAATGCTAAAAACCATTTGATTTTACACCAGGTTATAGAAATACTTAAAAAACAAAAGACAAACCAAATTTTCTATGCATTACTCAGAATTCAGTTGATGCACTGAATATATGTATTTATTATTTCTTGTACATTAAAAAAATTACAATGTATTTGAAAAAAATAATTGTGATACTATTTCAAATGTATATGAAATTTTGTTCAATATAAAATTTACATTATATGATACAATGACTTGGACTTAACTTTTTTTAATGTCAGCAGATGATCTATAAAGCTAAAAACTAATATGCAAGTTTTAATTGCCTCACTTTTTAGATTTTTTTTCTTCCAAATTTCTTTGATAATGGCACAACTGTAAGGCCAAAAAAAATTAATCAATAGTTTCTCAGGCACCGCCGCATCAGTTCAAAAACGGCCGCATTGATCAATTTTATTGATATATTGAAAAGGGAAATTACTCAATTTTCTATTTTTCAAGTTGAAAAAGAAAATTGAGTTATTCCCCTTTTTTATAAATGCTAAGATAGACGTTTTTATTATAGAAAACAATATATTTCTTCTAAATTTACAATATTTTATGAATTAACTTTTAAATAAATGTTTGGAATAACATTATTTTAAGTTGAATACGTATTATAACGAATTTTAGAATTAAAAAATTAAGAATTAGTGTATATTATCATTTTATTGAACAAATTGCTTTAAAAAGGTGTAAAACCTGCTAAAAAAAAAAGCCTGCCTGCCACATTGAAATTTGAATTTTTTGGCCTGAGAAACTGTGAATTAATTTTTTTTTGCCCTGACTGAAGTAATTTGTTTACTATAAAGAACCATAACTCTTGAGATCAATTCATTAATTAGTATCACTTGGAGTTTTTATCAACAGTTCTAATCTGTAGGTACTTTTCAGGATTCCTAACCCTAAGAAGGATGAGGGAAACTTGAAATAAATATCTTAAGTTATAATCCATGAAGAATTTTCCATAAAAGCTGTCAGTTTAACAGAAAACTATTCATTTTAGTCATTCAGATGTAGTTTTGACTTTACCCTATCAGAAAGATATTTTATTTTCTCTTGGTTGCATGGGCACTTACCTGACTGACAGTTGGTTCAATTGTGTTCAGACTAAAGGAATGAATTAAATTTTATTCAAGAGTTTGGTATGGCCTTGACTATTATTAAGAATTACCAAGTCAAGATTATCAAGATTACGGATTAATAGCGGATGGAGAAATTGAAACTTTAGTATGCTGTTACCCTTAACACCATTAGAATAACATTTAATTAAATGGTCAATATAAATGCAGTATTTATTTTAAAATAAATGTTAATACTAATCATGTAGTTATCCCTCTTTGCACATTGTGGCTGAATCTAAATCATTATCACATTTGATATTCTGTAAACTGTGGAATCATCAGGCAGGAAAAGTTCAATTACTTCATATACACTTTTTTCCCTAACTTACCTCTGTGTAGCAAGCTGTGATAAATGAGCTATGATATTCAAGGTCCATATTGCCACACTAGTACACACGTGACCAGTCAAATAGCAATTCATTATGGATGATAAATGGTATAATTTTTATTCTATTAATTGTACTTTAAAAGAAAAAAAAATAAAGTACATGTATTGCAATTGTTTATCAAATTATATTAAAATGATTTGTCATTCCCCCCCCCCCCCCCAATAAATTATGACAAACTACCCTTGAACTAAATCACTTGTTTGTAAAACAAAAAAAAATCATAATTCTCTAAGAGCCTGTTTTCTTCAGCATTATTGTTGAACATTTTATACCAAACAATGGCGTATATTCATTTTATTTCACAAAAATAAAAATTGATATTTCAAAAATTATAAATTTGAGCAAATACATTTACTGTACAAGCAATTTTAGTTCAACTGAAAGACACATCATACTAAACTACTCAAATTGTATTTAAATTAAGAAAAAAGTTGGCTGTGTTACTTGTATGTAGATAATGGAATTGAGTTTATCAAGTCACACAATGTTGGCTACAAGTGCTTGAAATAAAGCTATTTTTGTTAAATGATAGAAGTTGGCTTGCTGCATAAAATTAATTATCACATCATCAGTGCTGTCTGTGGTTGTTTCAATGGTTGTCTGTTCTGATGTTTGTTCTGTTGTTTGTAAGGTTGGTACAGAGGTTGGGGGACTGGTCATTGTTGGTTTAGGTGATGAAGTTGCTGTGAAGGTTGTTTTTGAAGTTTTTATTATGGGTGAGGTTGTTGTCACTGTGCTTGGTGTGGTTGCTTTTGTTGTGGTTGTGTGGTCGCTTGTTGTGATAGGTACGGATGTTGAGGTAGGTGTTTCTGATGTAATTGTGGTTGATTTTGTTTTAATTGGTGCTGTGGTAGTTGTCGGTGTTGGCATTGATGTTGTTGATATTGGTGTTGTGATGGTTGGTATTTTTTCAGTGGTTGTCAATATTGCTGTTGGTGATGTTGTAGAAGGTGATTTTGTTGTGGTGGTCTGTACCATTGTTGTGGTTGGTGTTTTAGATGATGTAGTTGGGGTTGATGTTGTGGTCTGAGTTGATGAAGTTAATGTTGAGGTTGGTGTTGTTGATGAAATTGTTGTTGTTAGTGTTGATGTAGTTTGAGTTGGTGGTATTGTGGTTGATGATGTTGTTGTCGTTGGCATTGATGTAGTTGCAGGTGTTGTGGTTGGTTTAATAGTTGTGGTTGGTGTTGTAGTCAGCATTGTTGTTGTTGGTGTTGTTGTAGTCTCTGTTGCTGTTGTAGGCATTGTTGCTGTTACAGGTGTTGTTGTAGTTTGTGTTGTTGTTGGTGTTGTTGTAGTTGTCGGTGTTGTTGTCGTTGTAGACGTCGTCGTTGTTGTTGTAAGAGATGTTGATGTAGTTGAAGGTGTTGTTGTGGTTGTAGTTGTTGTAGTGGTCAGTGTTGTTGAAGACATTGTTGTAGACGTCATCGTTGTTGTAGGCAGAGTTGTTGAAGACATCGTTGTTGTTGTTGTGGTCGGTGTTGTAGTGGTCGGAGTTGTTGCAGGCATTGTTGTTGTAGGTGTTGTTGTTGTAGTGGGCGTTGTTGTTGTTGTAGGCGTTGTTGTAGTGGGCGTTGTTGTTGTTGTAGGCGTTGTTGTTGTAGGCATTGTTGTAGGCATTGTTGCAGTGGACGTTGTTGTTGTTGTTGTTGTTGTAGGTGTTGTTGTTGTAGTGGGCGTTGTTGTTGTTGTAGGCGTTGTTGTAGTGGGCGTTGTTGTTGTTGTAGGCGTTGTTGTTGTAGGCATTGTTGTAGGCGTTGTTGTAGTGGACGTTGTTGTTGTTGTTGTAGGTGTTGTTGTTGTAGTGGGCGTTGTTGTTGTTGTAGGCGTTGTTGTTGTAGTGGGCGTTGTTGTTGTAGGCGTTGTTGTAGGCATTGTTGTAGTGGGCGTTGTTGTTGTTGTTGTAGGTGTTGTTGTTGTAGTGGGCGTTGTTGTTGTTGTTGTAGGCGTTGTTGTTGTTGTAGGCGTTGTTGTTGTAGTGGGTGTTGTTGTTGTTGTAGGTGTTATTGTTGTAGTAAGTGTCCTGGTCGTTGTAGGTGGCATTGTTGTTGTAGGCGTTGTTGTTGTTGTAGGTGTTATTGTTGTAGTAAGTGTCCTGGTCGTTGTAGGTGGCATTGTTGTTGTAGGCGTTGTTGTTGTTGTTGGTGTTGTTGTTGTAGTTGGTGTCGAGGTCGTTGGTATATTAGTAGTTGTTGTTCCAATTAAACATGTGTGACAACAACTCCCCTCTCGGACATTTTGCGAGTACTGACTACACAGAGAGACATCACAGTTATAGCTGGGGTCATCACCCAGTGGACAGTTGTCTGCGAATTGATATAAAGAAGAGTTAAAAATCATAAGAAAGATCCGTTAAACTTTAATAGGGCTGTGTATCGGATGAAGATTTTGTATTTCGATATTTGGAATTGTATTGCGATTTTATAATGTATTGCAATACTTAAATATTTAAATGCTCTTGTCTTGTTAGTCCCCTACCGATGAAACTGGAGGGGACTATAGGTTTCCTCTGTGTCTGTCCGTCCTTCCGTCTGTCCGTCCGTCCGTCCATCCGTCGGTCTGTCTAGCTGTCCTACTTGGTTTTCCGCATTTTTTTTCTAAATGCTTGCAGATATTGGGCTGAATTTTGGTATGCGAGTGTATCTTGATGAGTTACATATCAAGTTTGAATTTCGTTTTGCTTCATTGATTTTTGACAGAATTATGGCATTTTTAATTTTTCAAAATGGTTTAAGATCGGGTTCGTGCTGCGCTAAATTCCGATGGTCAACATGATAAATATGAAGCGAGAAAAAGAGTTGAAAAATGAGCTGAATTTTCGTCTTTATGTGGATTATTTTATTAGTTTAAAGGCATTCAAAACCTCAACATTCAGCAGTTTTACCTTGGTCATAACTTTTGCATACCGGGTATTATAAAATGACATCCTGAAGAAAAAAAGGAACCCGATAGGGGACATGTATTGCTTATGCAATACTCTCAGAATGCTTGTTTTATTTAATTACCTCCATTTATAAGCATAGTGTTTAAAACTCATATTAATTGTAACAAAAAAGTTAAAAGTTGATTTCACTTCAGTTTGGCATCAAAATGCAACCACATAACAGAAGCAATTACCGTTTGTTCAATTGAAAACGGTTCTGACATCTTAAATTTCATATTTTACCCTATAAATCTAAAGCCTTAGCATTTTGCCGATATATCGGTATAATTATATACAGTATTTAGTATTGCAATACGATATTTTATGTCACGAATCGCAATATATTGGAATATCGATGTTATTGCATAGCCCTATTAAACTACAAAGGCAGTTTCACAACGGAATGGGCAAGTGAGATTCTGGACAAAAACAAAATACGTATGAAAAGGAGTAAAGGAAATTTCAAAAATTTTAAAAAGTACAAAATGTATAGGTATAAATGTATGCGTGTGTCTTGGAAGTTTGGTGGGTGGGGGATGGAGGGGGGCTTTGCGTTTACCATATTCTAGTACGTTTTCAAGGGAAACATCTTCGAGGGTTGCTAAACATTTAAAGAATACTTACCAAGTTTTGCATGACTGTCATTTTACATATCGGAGTACAAAAAGGCCTGATATGGCCTCACGGCACAGGAACAAAATCTGAGGTATCTGATAAATACAATTTGATATCAGCTAAATCAGGACAAAAAAATCTGCGCAAATTTGCAAAAAAGTGCTTCAGAAACAGGAATGATGACGTCAATGCCTACTCTGAATTGAGTTTCCTGCAAATGAAGTCGTCAAATGTCTTTCTCACATATCTAACACAATATCGTTTTGAATATTGTTTTGCAACAAACAAACATAATCGTTTGGCCTGTCTTTAAACGTTTGGGACAAACCTTCCCCTGTGTTTACTTTCAAAAAAGAGGTAAATCGACAACCACATATTCTCCAATTTATTTGGGAGGGGAGGGTAAGGGGGATCATCATGCCTCAATGTATTGGTTGCCTTACCTGGCACATCCAGAGCTTTTGTAGAACTGACACACTGTCCAAGCTGGCACCACTAAATCAAAGAAACATAAAAGAATGAGGCTCGAATCAAGTCAAAATTTTGCAAAGGAATCACATATTTACAAGAGGGTAGAATTCACCAGAAGTCAGTTTACCTTGTAATTACCACATGGGGTTCCATCAAACGTAAAATGGGCCGAGCATGAAGTACTTCCTGGAATACGACATCGTAGTTTGTGGCAAATTTCTGACCACTTGAGTATAGTACCAGTATACGTTTCCTGAAAAACAAGAGATGTTTGTAAAACATTTATGCCTATGATAATAGCATTTAATATCCAGATGAATCATATCGGTAGTAACTCTGTAAGTAATATTTTTACACTGACTAACTCAATATCCACATTTAATTCATTTCATCAGACTACCGGTATCCTATTCTAGATTTTGTTAACCAATAAATGCGTTTTGAATTTTCTTTTACACGTAGACACTTTCATTCACCCGATTTATTCCGGATTAACTTTGTTTCGTTTCTGGATGTGTGCACCAAACTGGACCCAAACTTTTAATTTCAAATCTTTATTTCAGAGTTTGTTCTTCGACATTTAAAGTACAAGTATTAAGTTTATGAAGTTATACCCGACAGACTGTGGAACCAACAGATGGTGCATACGTCATCGCGCATTGTTCGTCTGCTGTGAAGGCTTGGCTCTCTCGAGTGACCACATCCAAGTATGGTGGCATGTTACTCAAACAATTTCTAAAGGAGAAAGAAATCTGAATGTCACTTTCTAGCTGTCACCTGATAGCAAAATCACAACCTGACAAGAACGTAACGCTTGAAAAAAAAAACGATAAAAGGTTTTATATTTTGTAACTGAACAAGCATTATTGTTGGGGTTTTGTTGCAATTGTGTGCAAAAGACAGATTTGTTATGCGGGGATGTTGGATATATCTTACTCAAGTAAACCGCTAACGTAGGTCCCAATTGCTGCTCTTGAGCAAGCCGAGAATTTGTACGTGTTTAGCGCCATATCGGGACTAAGATTGGCGGGATTTGGTAAAATTCCCGCCATTAAATTAAAATTACTGGACGGACACGCCCCCGTGTCATGTGATGCACCAATGCTAGAAAGAAAAGAGAAAAATGTTATGCTAGTGAACTTCCTGGTATCAACGGAGACAAAAACTTGATAAAATTTGAAGTAATTGTATAAACAACATTTTCCCCACCTGTGACCAAGCTCGTGAGCACCTATGTGAATGGCGATGGCATTAAATGTTTCCTCATTAACGGATGCTGCGTAAGAATTGCATACCCTGGACAGATAGGCAATACCTGAAACATTAGATATTGGTAAGCATTGGTCAATACATTAGTATAGCCTATATAATGTCAACATTTTACAAAAGAAAGGGAAGATTCTTACCTATAGTTCTGTCATCTGTCGATGTTTCTGCCAGATTATACCTGTGGTAAAACGCACACAAATAAAAACAATGATATTCATCATCATTTTATTTCATCATCATGTTTCTTTATTTCTTGGAGAGTTTGCAGGAATCTTACCCCGTGTACAAAGCAGCATGATCGTGTCTTGGTAACACCGATTTCTGGGCATTGGACCAAATGGCGAAATCCATCAGAGTGTTTCCATCATACACCTTATTCCCACTAATCACATTGTTCTCTGTCCAATTGGACGACTTCTGGTCCTAAAAGCAACAGGTCTATCTTGTAGTAGATTCTATAACTACCATACTTTTCAATTACCGTATTTTCTTTAAACATAACGCTGATGCATTCATTTTAAGGTTGCGCTTACCATTGCCAGTACAATTCCAGCTATAGCCACACGTAAGTCGCCCTGAGGGGTCTGCGCCGTCTTAAATCGGGTGTCTATCTGCAAAAATAATTTAAAATATCAATCTAAGATGAATGGAGTGGGATACCCACTTATAAGTAACAAACTTTGATAGTTGCCCTCTTGTAACATAAAATCCACTCCCCAAGGCGAAATAGGATTTTCGAGTTAGAAATCTTCCTTTTTTGCTTGTCAAGTTTTTAAAGTAAATTTTCAAAACCCCCTCCCCCATCCCCGCCCTTAAAAAACGATGTTGCATGTCTTTTGTGGAAGCATTTCATATAGACTAATACCTTATTTACCACTGAAAGGTAATACATATTGTTTTATTCATAAGAATAGACATATATAGTATATATTTATATAGAAGGACTTTGTAGGTACTCTCATCCCATTATGTTAGAAAAAAACATGGTTGTTATTGAATAATTGAATTAGTAATATATAAAGGGTGTTAAGAAAGTTCGTTCCACATTTTTCTTTTATTTTCAAAAAGAAATACGATGAGAAGATATTTACAATTTGTGATATTTCATGTTTATAGAGTCCATTCTTGCTACTTATAAGGTTTTAACTGTCTTTTGTTAAATCAAGTCGGATGTTTTTTTTATGGCATAAGTTCATCGGATACCCAAAGGGTGATCTCATTTTTTCTCATCACCGGGTGATAACAATACATTTGAAAAAAGAGAATTTACATAAAATTTACACTTAGATCAACAGCATAAGGGGAGGGCAGGTATTAAAACAGATTATGTCTGTTCAGAAAAATCAGGGATAACGCATATTTGTGAAATATATTAAGCACACAGGTCAAAACATCCTTTCAAACATTAAGCAAAAATTATCAAATCTGTGAAAAATTCCAAAACGACAATTCTATTCTATTGAAAAGTGATCTATCGTTCTTATATACCTACGCTCATCAGCTTGTCTGATGCAAGATAAGATATGAAGAAAAAGCAGTAAATTGTCCTTTATTTTCACTCAAAATGACCAGCACTTCTATCATTCGAGCTTTAAAGATGTTATATATATTTTCATATGGAAGAAAAATCCTATAAGTTCCTGCTAGAAATGAATTGCTAGAAATCTAAAGCACACTCTTGTGATTTTGTCTGACTTGAAAATTCATCGCTTTAGTTAAGCACTACTTTGAAATGCGTTTTGAAAATTGATGAATCATGGCTTGTTGTTTTTGTTTTGGTTCTTAATTCCTATATAACTTTGAGTAGTACGCCTCCTTTGGCTAAAATTTATACTCTGAACTACAATAAAAGCTGTACTCTCTCAGTAAAAATAAAAAAACCGAAGGATTTTTGAAAATATTTCATCCTGGAACGAACTTTCTTAACACCCCTTACTATGAAAAAACATAGATGTCAACTGTCTTACCCCATTTACAAGATAGAGGTAGTATTTGGTTATTGCATTTTTGGCTTCTTCATTTCTTTGGTTGTCATTGGTTGCATTTGACATGGACTTCCAGCTGTAACGTAACAAAAGTATTAGTACACATGATTTTAATACGTTTACATTTTTACCATGTGATTTCTAGATGTTAGTACTGATTTCATAAACACTCACATGATGAAGTTCACTACTCTGCACACACTACGTATTGACTTTGATAGTACTCACATGATGAAGTTCGCGTAGTCTACACACACCAAGTACTCCACGTACAACTGATTAGTACTTCTTTTGTTCCATCTGTGGCTCTTTGCAAACTCTATGCAAGAAAATTATATATATCTTCTGAAAGTCACTGTCACAAATCTTCTGAAAGTCACTGTCACAATAAGTCTAAAATATCTTACGCTTTCCTGGCTTTATCTAGAAAACATATTTCGCATTCCAAGAAAATTACAATTACTGAGTATCTAAATCTCAACCAGAGGTAAAAGAGCCTTTAAAACGTTCATCTGAGCTCAAAAAACCCATTAAGGATCCACGGATGTATAAAATGAAGCAAAAAGTGATAAACGATATTTTGCCTAAAATCATGAAAAATACAAATGATCGGAGATCCACAAAACAGCAGTGCTCCGTAGCAAATCATAATGACGCTGTTCTCTTTATGTCAATTTATTTGCCGGTTTATACACTGACATACGCAAGGTACCTTACCTACTGATATTTTTCCAAGATATTCTAAATTTAAATTTATAATACCATCACATGTTCTTGGACAAAAAATCAGCATGCGTTACCAGGGGTTTTGAAAAGATATCAAATTTTGAAAATCTTTGCATTATTCAAAAAAAAAATGTATAAAAATTACAAAGCAAAAATTCCAGATGTTTTTTCATCAAGAATTGTTTTAGAAGAGGTGTACAAATCCATATATAGACATTAAAAATATTGCACACGTGTCCTTCCTTTAGTGGAACTCTTCAACTCCAGTGAAGAACCAAATAAAGTTCAAACTACGTTGCGTATGACCTTAACTGATATCTTTAGAGTCCAACCCGCCTTAATAACATTCGACGTCTCTATATACGCGTGAAAAGTTTTGGAACAGGACTTAATACAACATACAAACAATCAATCAAATTATTCTTCCTTCTTACCATTGCTTTCTCTTCTTTTCCTTTCACTGAACCCCTGTAAAAACAAACAAATCTTTTACTTCCGGTGATGTTATATTATGTTGATTTTTTTTCCAATGAAATTATAATTAGTAAAAAAAAAAATCAATAATCATTGAATCATCAGATACAAATATAAAATATTTGTTATTTCCATTGGTGAAAGAAAACTTACCATGCCGGGATCTATGATAAATGGTCCTTGCGTGGATGATGTAGGCATGGAACCCTCCATCACCCTCTGTGGTCTTAGTCCATCCGACTGAGAGGGTTCGTTGTCTATAGAATGAAAAGAACTGTACACTGAGCATTTTCCTTAAATTGTACAATGACAAAGCAACCTTTACACTGTTAAACAACTATGTTAGTTGGAAGGGTTGATACGGATGAATTAACCCCTATCATAGTTTTGAACGAAAACCAAGTCTCTAATCTAATCCATGTTTCTAAATTCGAGGTTTGCCTACTAATAATAAACATATCGTTCCCGAAGTCGAGGGAATCCTTTTCCAGCCTCAGTACATTGTGGATCCGGATAGTGGCAGGGTGAGGGGTGGTGTTGGAGAATGGGGGTTCCACGATCTTAACAGACCGCCTCGTTCTGGAAGTCACCGGTTCAATGGAGTAAAAATCTGTCCCGATGATGTAGTTTGCGTGCTGAAACAAAGTATATTGCAAAATTTGTAGAAAGGTCTTCATTAACTAGACTCAGAGAAAAGACAAACATATTCTACTTTCAAATGCATAGAATCTGTGCACATGGTATTAATAGTCATTTGAAGGCCACAAATTCAAGAGCTACTCGTATAAGTTGGTACCTTACCAATTCAAACCTTGTATAGTCATCTTCAGGAAAACGCACCAATGCATTGGCTCCCATTTCAGTGCCTTGATACAAGGCAAAATCTCTCTGAAAAAAGAAAAAAATAACATGTATTATATCGACTTAATTATATTTACGTATATATAATATATGTTTAGATAAAAATATCTTTTTTATGTTAAAAAATGTTTTATTTGTTATTTTTTTTTAATAAAATTTACATCTGTAAAACATTGAGACTTGTCGCAAAAAATTGTGTTGCAACGTCATACTAGTTATTCCATAAAAATATCACTCAAGGTGTTTTTTCCAAAGAGATTAAAAGGACCATGATCTGATTTGATTGTTATTGGTAAATTGTAACAAAGTCAGAGATAACAATCTACAAAATATACATATGTAAGATCTCTATCCCTACTAACACAAATTACATACATGAACACCAACACGTTTGTGATTTGGTGATTGCAATTGATTTATGGTACACGGAATCATCCCCTTAAGGTTTATTAAAGCTGTCAATTCAATACAACAATTTAGCATATAGTTGAATTTTTGTCCCTGACAATCCAACTTACTTGCTAACTAAAAAGATAACCAAACAGAGTAAAAAGCACCTGTCCAAAAATATATATATGTACATATAATTATACAATCCATAATAATGAGTCAAGTTTATATTTATATATAAAAGTCAGTTTAAAACAATTTTCTAGCCTAAAAACTAGACTTAAGTATTTACGGCGGAGATAAGGCTTTTTTTAAAAGTTAGTCAAAGGTATTAATACCTAACTTATCGCCAATTACAACTTGAATTCATCTATGTTATACATACATTATCTTATTTCCATTTATTTTATTTTAAGTTAAAGTTCTATTCTTGTAAAAACCAAAATAATCTTTCGTATTTTTGGTAAATGCAATCATCATGAAACACGAGAAAAAAAGGAATTTCAAAATTCATGTAGACGGGTAAACCTTTAGGCAAGTTAAACTAAAAAAGAAATAGAAATATATTAAGACATTGTAAAAGCTACCTGTAAACTAAATTTTGTGTCATTGACCACTCGTCCGCCGGTCCACAAGAGAATTGGAGGAACTTTGACCAAATCATTTCTGGTTAGATCTAATCGCACATCGCCGTCACTGGTGGTGAATTTAAAGAGCAGTTTATCCGGAAATGTGTGGGCCGACCGTTTCCTTCGAGCATGGTCTTGTGTGAGTAATATCTGAATTGGCACTAATTCTGAAAAAAATATATTCAAACAATATTACAGAAAATATTCCTTGATTGATTTTTGATTAAAAATAGAGCCAAGTAAAAATTTGAAAGATGGTTTATTGTGTTTAGATGGTGGAATACGTCTAGATGAATCTCTTGAAAATAGCCCTTGCTTGAACTGACCTCATTGGAATGAGTATGGCTCTAAATATTTTGGTTGAGGCTATCTTTATGGAATGAGAGTATTGTGTCCCTGAATGAACATATGGCTTTATTTGTTACACACAATGTAGAGTAGATTGGTTAATAGGTACATGTATGTATTACCTGATTGGCTGAAATGGGGTATGTAATTTTTTTTTTCATGTTAAAGTAAAAGTATTAATGTTTGAAATAATTGATTGAATGTATGAATATTACAGAAATGTAGAAATACCAGGAGAGATTGTAGGATCGGGGGTTAATTTTTTTGGCAAAGTTTTATTTACTGCTGATAGCTCATCTAGCGAAGATGCTGATAGCTATAAGTTGTAAACAACTGCAATTTTGACCTATAAACGCCATGGGACCCCATATTTTTTTGGCCTTTTTAAAAAATAAGTGCTTGGATTAAAGTTTCAAATAATGCCTAGGATTTGTCTGAAATTAAATTAGTATGGTACTGAGAGGGCAAAAAGTTTTTTTTATACTTTAAATTTAACTTATGAACCTTTCTACAAGTATTTAGGAGTAATCTTTGATGAGGATTGTGATTTTAAGAGAAATGCGGAAAATTTAGGAAAATCTGGAGGACGAGCTCTCGGATCTATGATATCTAAAATTCACTCCCTCAAAATGGTCGGATTCGAAACGTTTGAAAAGTTATATCTCAACTGTGTTGCTCCCATTCTGGACTACTGCAGCGGAGTTTGGGGAACCACAAATTATTATTGTACAGAGATGGTGCAGTCCCGCGCCTTACGGTATTTTCTTGGAGTACACCGATTCACACCATTGATTGCAATCCAAGGCGAATGTGGCTGGATGCCATGCTACTTTCGACAGCAGATTAACGTCTTGCGATTATGGAATCGTCTGATGATATTAGAAAACGACCGTCTGACAAAGAAAATTTTTCTATGGGATAGGGAACAAAATAACAAAACGAACTGGACTTCAAAAACTAAATTACTTCTTGATTCTCTAAATATGCCAGATATCTACACAAATTTATCAATTTGCAGCTTAGAACTTGCAAAAAGACTCCTCTGTCAACAGATTGAAACAAAATGGACTTTTGCAAAAAATTCCCAAACTAAGAACTTACCGTCTCTTTAAAAATCAATACAAATTGGAGGATTACGTTTCTATGGATTTGACAAAACCGATAAGATTGGCAATGTTTCGTTGCGGTGTATTACCACTCCGAATTGAAACCGGACGTTATAAATCTGAGCCACCCCAACATAGAATTTGCCAGTTTTGTAACAATAATGAAATCGAAAATGAAAAACATTTTTTATTACACTGCAAATTATATGAAATTAAAAGGATTTCTTTCGTAAAATAGGATTTAAAAATTTATCAGATTTGTCTTTAGATTACACATTCTTTTCAGATATTTTATGTAAATTTCCCAGACAATCTGCAAATTTTATATTTGATGCTTTTAAAACTCGCCAGAACTTCATAAAAAGAACATTCTAATATCATTTATCTTCATTCTGTGCCTTTGTATATAAGAATTGTCAAAATATTAACAGTGACATATAGGTCCTTTGGGCCGGGTGTAAGAAACTAAACTTATTGTTGTAAAATATATTGTATTACTGTAACAATACACATGTCACTATAATAAATAATTTACTTACTTACTTACTTATACAGTTCTATGGGAAAATAATTGGTAATCTTTTCCCTTTATACGCAAGTTTATCGAAATATCATGGTCATCCCCACTAGTCACTAACTAAAAGTTCATTTACCCCGTGATCAGAAAGATAACACTCCTTGTTAAATTATACTACAACTATGTGTATACTTTTAGCATAAATTTGATTTCTTTCAAAAGTCCGTATTAAGAAAACTCTGAACACTGATATTTTTTAAAAAATATATCTTTATATGTCATATTAAGATATTCAATCGAGTTTTCATCATATGTTATGCTAAGGAAATGTTTGGACAATAAGTCAATATAAGTCTATTAGAAAAATATTGCCGTTTTCTGAAAAAAAAAGTTTTATTTAAAATTAAGATTCCAAATTCCCTCTGAATTTTCAATTACGATTAAAAATGAACTGCATTTTAGGACAAAAAGAAATTTTTAATATGAAAAATAAATAAAGATTTAATAGACATTTAATACCATTAAGAGTTATCTTTCTTATGAGAGTAGCAATGAAACTTAAGCAAGTGTTACAATATTCTTTTCTCTAGTAAACTTTAAAATGTGGTGAATTCAAAACATATTACACAGTTTATTTATATTGTAAGAAATAAGTAAGTTCTAAATCGTTCATTATTAAATTCCATTTAGAGTAAAACCATTAACACTGGAACATGCATTTGTTGGCACCAACCTTCAGTTAGAGAGTCCTGAATATTTCGTTTTCTGGACTGGGACGGAAATGCACATGATAAGGAAAGAAGACTTACGAAAAACAAAATATTCATCTTAATTCCAAATCACCCTCTGTCAACTCATTTCGTGTATCCGAAATTTATTGGCTGAACACTTAAAAAGGGAAACACTAAAAGAATTCTAAAATTTACATTAGAATTCTAAAATTCACATTATCTCCATATATTGTAAGTCACAGAGGGTAAAAAACCTCATCCTGTTTATTGGTGATTTTAATAATACGTTCAATGCCCATCTAACGTACCCTCGGCTAAAATGAGACTACGCTGGATGCGGTTGGATGAACTCAGACCATTACTGGACCAACCCAGTAATGGTAAGTCTGACAATAAAACAAAAACATTATCTTTAATCTGATAGTCACGGGTCGCTGACTCTTTACGTCTGTGTATGCCTAACACAGAAGGCCCCTGGCCTCCAGGGTGTGAAAAGCTGGTCTGAGCGAATTGTCCCTCGTAGTGAAAATGTGACGTTTTAATCAGACCATCAGCGATTATCGTTATAAATAGGAAAACAGCATTCCAATGTGTAACTGTGTTTTTCTTTGACATGTATTACAACGTTCTTACGTGGACATTGTAATATTGTGACACACAGTATCTTTGAGTGGGATGGCTATTATACACGATTTATATTTTGAGAATGATTTCCGTTACCTTGGTATCTCGTGTCCAATAATTTTTAACATAAATCTATTTGTATATAAATAAGTTTAGAACAAAGGTCTTAGATTATTAGAATTTATTTCCTTGGGAGGAGACTTAATATCATGTCAACAAGTTTAGAAAAGTGGATAATTCTTTGAATTTTTTTCTCCTTAGATTTGGAAAATGATATAGACTTGGAAAATATTAATTAATATTTCATTAAAATTACAAATATGGACAAATCACACTCAGTAGAGGTTTACAGATGAAAACAAATTTCAGAATATGTTAGCTTGGTGCTAAAAGTGTAATATAAACTTTAAAAATACATACCAACCCATTGAATTTTATGGGGAAAAGCAAAATGGTAACAAGAGGCCCATGGGCCTTATAGGTCACCTGAGTATCGTGCCACAACTTTCCAACAATTGAATTTGATTCATGTTTTAAACTAGAGGCCATGAAATTCACAATTTTGAAAGGGACACCATTGCTTATCATAATTATACACTCAGCATGCTTATTTTGGTTACTTAATACCCAGAGGTAGATCAGAGTAACAAAGAGAAAATGCATTTCCACTTTTAGTGAATTTCAGGGCCCCTGGGTCAGGGCTTCTTGTGTTAGCGCAGGTCCACAGTTGAGCTCCCCATCCCACAGGAACCACTGACCCTGGGGCCATATCTTTCAAAATTTTGGATTTTTTTTAAAAATCTAATTTCATCATGCTGTTAATTAATACCAAAGTGCAGATTTCAAAGCATTAAATTATTTCAGACTATCCCCCCCTCAAAGTACCTCTGTCCCAGGGGCCAGGAAATTAACGATTTTTGGAAGAAACAGGTTTTTTTGTCACAAATATATACTAAGAGCATTTGGCATTATACCCAACAAAAAAGGAAAAGATTTTCAAAGGATTCATGCACTTTCACTATATAAACATTAGAGCCCCACCCTAACACAAGAAGCCCTAACCCAGGGACCCTGAAATTCAAAAATCTCAAAGAGGCATCCTTCCTCCTCATAACTATGTTCATAGTTCATTGGTTAAATACTCAGGTGCAGAAAAGAAGAGTTTTAAAGAATTTATGCATTTTCACTATATAATCAATAAAGCCCCGCCCTAACACCAGAACCCCCAACCCAGGGGCCATGAAATTCACAATTTTGGAAGAGATAGACTTATTTAACACAACTATGTACTTGGTTAGTTTATTTAATACTCAGGAGCAAAGAAGAAATTTTTCAAAGAAATAATTCATTTTTTACTATATAATATACATAGCCCCGCCCTAGCACTAGAACCCCTGACCCTGGGGCCATGAAATTCACAATTTTGGAAGAGGCAGCATTATTCAACATAGCTATGCACTTGCTTAGTTTATTTAATGCCCATGAGCAGAGAAGAAGAATTTCAAAGAATTTTTGCATTTTCACTATATAATCTATATAGCCCCACCCTACCACTGGAACCCCTGATCATGGGGCCATTAAATTCACAATCTGAAAAGAGGCAGTCTTATTCAACATAACTATGCACTTGGTTAGTTTATTTAATGCCCACAAACAGAAAAGAAGAATTTCAAAGAATTTGTGCATTTTCACTATATAATTTATATAGCCCCGCCCTAGCACTAGAACCCCTGACCCTGGGGCCATGAAATTCACAATTTTGGGAAAGGCGGTCATTTTCAATTTACCTTTGCACTTGGTTAGTTTATCTAATGCCCAGGAACAAAAAAGAAGAATTTCAAAGAAATAATGCATTTTCACTATATAACCTGTTTAGCCCCGCCCTAGCACTAGAACCCCTGACCCTGGGGCCATGAATTTCACAATTTTGGTAGAGGACTTATTGCTGATCACAATCATACCAACAGTTTGACTGCTTGATGTCCAGGAGTAAAGAAGAAGATTTATAAATATTGCACTAATTTTAGTGGTTTTTGCCCCACCCCCAGGCCCCAGGGGGGCAGGGACCATGAAATTCACAATTTTTGTTTCCCTTCACCCATAGATGCTATATGCCAAATTTGGTTGAAATTGGTTCAGTGGTTTCAGAGAAGAAGCTGAAAATGTTCAAATGTTAACGCACGACGAACGACGGACGACGACGGACGAAAACAGATAGCAATAGGTCACCTGAGTTTACTCAGGTGACCTAAAAATCAGTTTTTGTGATTTTTCTGATTTTTCACCATTTTGCGTTTCCTCATAAAATTTACCTGGCTTTGGTATATTTTTGTAAAGTTTATATTACACTTTAAGCACCAAGGTAAGAAAAGAAAAATGAATTTAGAAAATCTCAGTTCCCCATTACCATTCAATTGGGAGTTTACTACCAATATTTATTGGACTTTCACTTAGTTGTCAAGGTTATCTGAAGAAAAAAAAATCCAGAAAAAACCTGAAATATTTTACCAGTACAATAAATGTTCAGCTTTTGCAAGTTTTGCATAAGGTGTTTACCATAATAAAGCACATTTCTGAGAATTTGCACCTCATTTGAGCCATTATCAGCGATTATCGGATTTGCACCCTTTCCGTATCGATAATTGCTAATTCGGCAAGGGACATCCAAAGAATTCAAGCATTTGGTGAAATATTTTTTCCATATCGAGGACCAAAACGGGCAAGGTATTTATAATCTAAGACACGTTCTTACTTTAAAATACATTCTGTAGGTGGTAGGCATGCTGGTGATTTTTCAAAAATGATGAAATGGAACGGTTCTTGCTCTTTGATACCTGAAATAAAAGGAGCAGGGATCAGCATGGATTTAACCATTTAGAGAGCCGATCTATTTTTGTCATGTTGTCCGTCTAATATTTTGTAAACCTTTTTTTTCAATATGATTATGAAATTGTTGACAATTTAAACATTATAAAACTAGAATTTATTAGTATTTATTTTGCTAACAAAGGTTATATTAATTTGATTGTTTTATCTTTAAGGATGTCAACGCCAGTTCTTGTGAAGATTATTATAGCGTCCATCATTCTGACTTTGTTCTGGATGCGTCTGATGATCCAGCTTCTTATAAATCTGGAGAGCTACTGAGCAGACGACAGGAAGTCCTGTATATTCCAGGTTTCCTGTCTTTGATTAAGCCTCGAGGGATATGCCTGTTCACGACCAGACAGAGTTCCAGCTAGATGACTATGGATACCACAACATCACTCTCTCACCCAAAGAAAATGTTATCGTTCTTGATCTCGTCTTCTTCATCTTCACCGCCACATCGATCATCTTCCTCAACGTATTCGTGGTGGCACTGGTTCTTAGGCTTGGGTTTAAAAAGATTAACAAAAACCCGTTCAACGTCCAGATAATGAGCCTGATCGTCAGTGATTTTATGGTCGGAGTTTCCCTCCTCCCAACTCAGATTACATACTTCCTAGGACAGCAGTCGGACTTTGACTGCAGCGTACGGTGCGCAGTTTTCATGATTGCATACATGGCTTCGTTGCTTCACGTCTGCGTTATTTGTCTAGACAGATGGTGGATTATCTACTTTAACAAAACCCAGACACGTAAACAGCTATTCCCTCGATGCTTGTTTCTCCTGTTCGGGACCTGGGTAGCTGCCTTTTTGATAGAGTTCATTCCCTTTGTTCTGTGGCGGGATGAGAACTCGTCGGTGTGTTCCATAGCTAATGTTTTTGGGGACTATTATAACGAGGCCTTCGGATACCAGGTCTGCACTCATATTGCAGTCATTTCCTGTATAACTGTCTTTTACGGTCTTATCATTGGTTTCATCTTAAATAAAAGAAAACGGTTAAATCCTGTCCGGAGCCGCACTTCGGAAATAAGCGCAGTCTCGAGCAGAATATCAACTCTTGACAATTCTTCGAAAGCAAAATCTATGCCGTCCATGAAGTCACAGCAAGATATTTCAAGGAATGGGATAGAGGCAAGCCAGCAATCCAAAAACGACAGTCGGCAGAATAAGGCCATCCAGACAATGGGATTTATCATCGGCAGCCACCTTCTTTGCGTTGGACCCCTTATATCCATGCTTATGATGGAGATCTTTGGCAACTTGGAGCGGACTTCCGTCTCATGGCACCATGTTGTAATTTATATTGCTTGCTTGGGATCCGCCATTAACCCCATTCTCTACGCATTTCGAATACCGGAAGTCAACAATGCTATGGCAAAATTCTGTCGTGTGAATAATGCATCATTTGATTGAGAGCTGTGATTAAAACGTTAATTAACTTTGAACATTGTACTTTGAATATTGATGCTAGTGAAAACTCCCAGAGTTTAACATTGATGTGTGTTGTGACATATCAGAATCTATAACATTTTCATAGGAAGGAAGTTATTGCAATTTTGTATGCATGTAATTAAAGTATATTTGCTATGTGACCTTTCTCTTTTTTTTTAGCAACTACATTTATAAGCATTTAAATGTCATTTTTTGCATTTTCTTGTGTCATAATTAAAAAAAAAACGCTTGATATTAATATTGGACTTTTTTTTGTATTTAATCCATTTATATGAGAAAGCTATAT